ATACGATTAATCGGTATGGTTTTAAAAGAAAAATGTTCAAATAATAATGAGCAATTATTTATTATTGATTACTAACAAATAACTGACAGAAAATTTACAAAAAGAAAATCTTTTTAGTTTTATTGGTTTAAATTGTGAATTTTTGAACTAATTCCAGTAATATGAAAATCGATAAGAAACTCTATTAAGATTCATTTGTAGCGTCAAACTCCCTAAAACATCTACGTAATTAGTTTCCATAAACTAACGAGAAAAGATGACCGATCAACTTGATAATTAAATCCATGAGTGGAGCCAGACAAAATCCGGCAGTGTTAAGTAAGAATGACCTTTTCGAAGTTGTTACCGTCTTAATGAGTTTTTTACCACTATTAAAGCTGAGAAAGAAAAATTAGACTTCAAAACTGAAGTTCCTGCTATTTCCCCTTTGATAAGATTTCATGATCATTAGAATGCCACAAGAATTCTTAGTCCGAAAAATATATTCTTTTTCATATATTGACTATTCAGAATAGAAAAATAGATCATGTGACATATAGGAAGATCAGAAAATAGATGTTTTTCAACGTTCGATATCTCTGGAGGAATGTAATATTTTTGATTGAGAATTTTAAAAAATTCTAATGACTACGAAATCTATCTATAGGCAAAATTTCGAATTGAAATACTACCATTCTGGTTTTCATAAATATGTTGTGACGAGCAAAAAAACTAAGCGGAAGGATAATAGTTCCAGAAGGATAATGCATGAAAATAAATTCGTTTCATCAAACTTCCCTCATGAACAAAATCTTAGCTCAATCGACGATTCATACTTGAGAACCTTCTCAAATGAAAACATCACTAATGAATCTATCTAACACATTAGATCAAGTTCGATTATAAAGGGTTTCCTAAGAGTAGATGTAGGAATTATTTAATCTTGATCAATACAATTTTAATATTATTTCTGTTTGTAGGAGTGTACTCGATTTTGATTTTGAAAAACTTTGTTCAATAACACTATCAAATAATAATGTCTATGCTTGTTTAGTTTGTGGCAAATATTTTCAAGGTTAATTATTTATTATTTCAAAAATCTATTAAATATATATATATATTGTTTGTATTTTAAAGGTCGCGGACAAAAATCTTGTGCTTATACACATAGTGTTGAAGTTGAACATCATGTTTTTATAAATCTTCATTCATTACAATTTTTTTGTTTGCCAGATAATTATGAAATCATAGATTCGTCATTAGATGATATTAAAGTAAGAAGAAAAAAAAATATATATAGAATGGTTCAAAAGTCATGACTACTTAAGAAATATAAATAACTCGGCTACTGATTTCCAAAGACCAAGTTCATCAATAGTACAGAAAATGCAATGTATTCGACTAGAATGTAAAAACTAGATTTTCTGAATCAAAACTTACTACTAAGTAGTCTCCAATCACAAATATACAAAAGTTTTTGATTAAGTTTGATCAATAGCTGAGTTATCTGTATTTCATACTTGAAATTGGTAGGCTGAAATTTTTAATTGAACCGGCAACAAACCGGTCTGCTTAATATAACATTCAAAATATCAGTTCTTTTCGAAAAAGTATATCACTTCCGTTCTACAAAGACATGCAGTGTAAAACTCGTGTAATCCTTGTTGGAGGTTCTAATAGTATCAACTCTGTGGTTAATTTTTTTCTACTAATGATATGATTTCTTTACAATTTGTGAGTTTGATCTCTTCTTACTCGAAATAATTATTTTAACACAGCTGAAAGGCATTTCAATTGGTAAAAGGATACTATTGTCGATAGAAGTATAGTATGTTTTTATATGAGACTTCCTATTTTAAAGTTTCTTTATCCAAATATTTTTACCATTGCATAATGCGAATAGTTGGCAAGATCTTGACGATAGAATAGAACCTTTTCTGCTATTTTACAATGACAGCATGAACTAAAAACAATTATCTATTAGGATATCATGACAGTCAGCTAAAAATAGTCAAGAAAAGTCTGCTCGAACGTTCATGATGAAAAATCTTTAGTTCAGATCGAGTTTCTATTCTAATATCTGACTAATTTTTCGTAAGCATAATACAACAACGACTCGAATTTCGTCAGTTGGACATTTTCAAACTCATATTTCTTGATCATTAAAATCATTGAAATTGTTGAAAACCAACTGGTTTGGTTCAATGTATGCTGTATTTATTAAGAGGTCATGACTTCTGTGACAGTCTGTATTTGTTGTTTTTTATTCTATATACTCATTTTATTCATATTTAGTATGTACTTAATCCAACATATTCAAAAGAACAAATAGAACAATTGGATAAAAATGAAAAAATGGTTCGTGCTTATGATGGAACTTTATATTTACCAGGTCTGTTAAATACAAAAAAATTTCATGAAAAATAAATATTTTATTTTTTGTTTTCTTTCTCAAAAAGGTATTGTTGGTTTAAATAATATTAAAGCGAATGATTATTGTAATGTTATCTTACAAGTAAATTATTCTTTAATTCGCTTAGAATTTTTTTAATTTTATAAATTTAGGCTTTAATTAATGTTGGTCCATTACGTGATTATTTTCTTCAAGAAGATAATTATGCTGATATACGTGTAGCACCTGGTGATATCATGATAAATTTAGTTAAACGTTTTGGTGAATTAGTTCGTAAATTATGGAATCCACGAAATTTTAAAGCACATGTATCACCACATGAAATGTTACAAGCTGTTGTTAAATGTAGTAAAAAACGTTTTCAAATAACACAACAAGGTGATCCTGTTGAATTTCTTGCATGGCTTCTTAATAGTCTCCATTTAACATTGAATGGAACAAAAAATTCCAATAGTAGTATTATTTATAAAGCATTTCAAGGCAAAATGAAAGTTTATACACGAAAAATTCCACCAATTGATTTAGTAATAAATAAAATGTTAATAGTATTGTTTGTTTAAATTTGTTCTTTTGTTTTTTATAGAGTGAAGATGAAAAGAGAAAATTACTAGCCATAGAAGAATATAAAGGTAATATATATGAAAACTCAAGATTTTTTGTTTTTTGATTTTTATTATTATAATATTTATTTTAGAATATGATGAAGAAACTCCATATCTATTTTTATCAGTTGATCTTCCACCACCACCATTATTTCGTGATGAATTTAAAGAAAGTATTATACCACAAGTACCACTTTTTCAAATTTTAACAAAATTTGATGGACAAACAGCACAAGAACATAAAACATATAAAGATAATTTTCTTAAACGTTATGAAATAAGAAAATTACCACCGTATCTTATTTTATGTTTTCGGGTACGATAAGAAAAACAATTTTTTTCATAATATTTTACTTATTTTATCTTATTATTTTAGCGTTTTACCAAAAATACATTCTATCTAGAAAAAAATCCAACAATTGTCAATTTTCCAATTAAGTATGTAAATAATGAGTGAAATAATGAATTTAGCTTAGCATGCATTGTACATGAGGGTACTAGGAACAATACAACAGATCTGTTTGTATTATAAACTATGCATTATAAACATGTCTGTGACAAAAGTAATATATCTGCAAGAAATAATACAGAAATAATGGCATCTTAAATTGTCTTCCGGCTATATAGATTCTTTTCACGTAATTGTATAGAATTTTGTCCATTCGGTTTTTTCTTGTAAAAGAATTTGATTCTTTTTTTTTTATAGATAAGTTTTCAATGAATAATGAATAGAATCTTATCTTCAGATTATAGTCAACCAACTTGTGTTAAGTTTAAAATAGTTATCATGTCATGCATCATGCATCAGTGTCTGTTATAAGGCAAAATATTTCTAATTAAAAAACATCGTTCCATCTTATCAAGAACTCATTCAAAATATTAATAAAACACTCCTACAGGTTTCCTTCTATAAACGTTTAGAATAAATATGACTTCATGTATATTAAATATAGGCGTGCTCTGTAATCTTTATGATAAAATGACTGACTCCAAAGTCCAATACTGATTGGATATTTATAGTTGTATACTTGATAAACCTTCTCAAATATCTGATCCTTTCATTTGAATTATTGATTCCTATGTAAATCATCATGTTTTGACCTCTAAAAACTCACATGAATATGAGAAGATTAACTTTTCCTAATTTACACAAAGATTTGTTCAAATAAAATATGTTTTTATGACCTGATTAAAATGCGCTAATCTTCTTTGACGAAGGAAAATATATATGTCGTTTAGAATTTACTAAAAAAAACAACGAAAAGAAGTTTCTAATGATTGACATTGAATTAAAATATAAGAAAAAGTCTTATTAATCGATAAGCTTTTTTGTCTATTATCTTGTCTATTGGGAATAAAACTATTTGTTCATATTAATCAAAAAAACCAATTGAATATGATTAACTCTATTCAATAGAAAAAGAAAAAAAAAAGAATACGAAGACACTTTCTTTTCTTATAGTAAAAAAAAAAGTATACTACTTTTTCTTTTTTTAGAAACGTTGATCTTCGAGAATTATTACCTGAATATCGTATTGAACCATCAGCTTTAATTGAAAGTCCATCAACAACTTATGATCTCATTTCTAATGTTGTTCATGATGGAGAACCAGGTAAAATTAAATTTTTAAAAATTTTAATATGTTCTTTTTTGTCTTGTTTTAAGGGAAAGGTACCTATCGCGTTCACATTTTGCATAAGGTTTGTTAGAAATTAGAATAATGAAAAGAACAAATAAATCCAATGATTTGACTTTTTAGGGTTCAGGTACATGGTATGAATTACAAGATTTACATGTCGTCGATGTTTTACCACAAATGATTACACTTTCTGAATCGTATTTACAAGTAAGACAAAAAATATTTTCATATCATTTTCTTTATTAATAATATAAAATATTTTATAGATTTGGGAACGTCGTGATGTTAGTGAATTATTCAAAAAAACTTGAACATTTCTATTTTTTTTCTTCTGTATTCATGTTTTTTGTTTGCTTCTACATATTATTAAACTTCTTTAAGACTTGAACGAAATTGAGGAAAAACTAATTGTTTTAAATGTAGAAATAAATTTTGTGGTACTTCTGGTAAATCAATATGTAATGGTTTACATTGCCATATTAATAATGTTACAATAAAACCTAAAAACATATCAATAGAATAATGATGACGTTCTAATATTGTACATAGAATACGTTGAATTATATGAAACCAAATTAATATCGGAAGACCATAACGTAATATTCTTGATGAATATTGACGAGATAATATTGTAAATGAAATAGCTGTTAGAGTATAAATTGTAACATGTCCACTATAAAGTAAATCATTACAAGCACCACCAACACGTATTCTAAATGGATTAATAGGATCAGTAAAATTACATCGAGGTTTTGGTGAAGGTAAAACTGTCATTGAAAAAAGGCATATACGTAATGTACGTGCTATAAGTAAACATCGTGCACCTTTTTGAACTACAGTTAAACCTTTACTACCATTAAGAAAACAGAAAAATACCCAAATTATTGCTAAGTTTTCAACTGATAATCCAGTAGCAGTACATATTTGTTTTCTTGAAGTAATTTTTCTTAGGAATTCATAAGCAAGATCACGTAATGGAGTATGATTATGTTCAACAGATGATATTAATTGTACTGAAGTATTTTCAATAAAAAATTCCATGGCAAGAAATAATAAATCTCTCAATGATTTTAAAACATATATTTGTAATTCATGACTAACACGTAATTGATATTGGTTTCTAATAGAACGGAATGGAAAATATCGTTGCATTATCATTCAGTCACAATAAAAATATTCATTAAATTAAATATTCATGGCAACACTTGAAATAAGAACCAAAACAAATATTTATTATGCCGTTACCATGTAGTTTGCGAGTCTCATCGAAATTTCACTATTGGCCGTTCTTTTTTTCAAACAGCTATACTGTACGATACGAACAACAAATAATAAAGAAATAAAAATAGTTATATCTACAGGGTGATTGAAAAGTAACTCCCTATTTTAAATTCTTTATTACTCTCAAATGACAAAAGATATCATAACGATTATTACACTGTTTTGAAGCATGTGTCATGCCATATTATAGTAGATGAAACAAGCCGATTGATCATTTGACTATCTAAGATCAAGCACGAATTTCATCTCGAGAATCTCTGAAAATAACTCATTATTTTGAATAATTTATTGTTCTTATACGACAAAAAATACTGTAATAAATTTTTGTATTATTTTGAACTATGCATAATACAATAACATTTAATGTCTCAAATTTATACATAGATTCCTCTATTATCCGTACACTTCTGTGGTTATTATAGTATCTGTTCTTATGTAAGGAAATATCAGTATTCAAAATAATGAGTTATTTTCAGAGATTCTCGAGATGAAATTCGTGCTTGATCTTAGATAGTCAAATGATCAATCGGCTTGTTTCATCTACTATAAAATGGCATGACACATGCTTCAAAACAATGAAATAATCGTTACGATATCTTTTGTCATTTGAGAGCAATAAAGAATTTAAAATAGGGAGTTACTTTTCAATCACCTTGTATATCATCGAATAGACATAGTTGTAAAAGTAAAATAGACAGTGTTTATATCAGAGGATTTTGTTTTCATTCATTATCCAACATGAAATACAAATGATTAAATAAATTAAACAATTATTTTTTCTCTTTCAAATTATCAACTATTTACTAGTAAAAAAAAATCTTTTCAGTTACAAAACAAAATGATTCATGCTAATACAAGACCATACATTTAAGTTTGTTTACAGGATAATCGATGCATTTCTGTCACATAGCCTCTTGGGCTTTTTTTTCTATATACGATAATATCATAGACAAAAAACTGCTTCTGGCGTAAGCAAACATCTATAGTTATTATGTTGCTAACGGTGTTTGTTATATTTTTAGGTACTTCCTCTCATGTTGTTATGAGATATCTTGGTACAAGGAGAACAGGCAAAAAGAAAAACCAAGGAAAATCGTACAAGAACGTAATACACTAAGAAAATGATACTTTGTCCTTAGTGCAAAAAGGACCTTGTTTTTAAGGTCTACGTTTCATTTTGTTTTTCGTGTTATTTGGACTTAATAACTTATCAAACTCTATGCTCATATCAGGGTAACAAGTAGTTATTTTTTTCACATTTATGACTGATATGGTAGTTCTATATATAGAAAGATTTAATGAAATAAACTTTTTAAATAATGTCAAAAAAAAGAATAACTGAAGATTTTCTAAAGTTTTTATTGGCTTATCATTTTCATTTAATTATTAATAAGCTAATATGTATTGATTTTGAATATTTCTGTCTCTCAACCAGTAGGTTTATTTATGCTCTATAAGTATATTTTAATGAAAGAAAGTGACATCTTTAGATAGAAAGAGGTTTATTTTCATTATTTCATTAGTTGCTTGATAGATATTTTTGGCCCAATGATATATTCGGAACGATGACCCATTTCCCTTCGACATCATACCATCGTCTCATCGTGTCAAACATGATTCACACGAGAATGACCAATTTATTTGAATGTACCAGTTCCTCTTTTATCATGCAACAATCATAATCTATTACAAACGTACTAGTTTTTTTTTTATCAGCTAAAGCATTTGTATAACATTAATAACTTTTTATTGTTTAGATTGTAAAACATATATTCCCCCGACATGAAAACAATCAAGCATTGTTGAAAAATTTTTTTCAGTAAATATTGTCCTAAGATCTCGAGATAAATAGCAACAGATTTTTAGAAAACGTTTGATTATTTTCATTGCGAGCAATATATATATATGTAACCTAACGAATAACAAGTCAGAGTACCCATCCTTGTATATGTGTACGTTATTATTACGAAGCAAATGCTTTGATACATTTTTTTTTATAGTATTTCGAGATAAATAATAGATATTTGTTTTTCAGATGAAAAATAGACTATTGTACGCATTTTTCTAGAGTATATAATGTTTTTTTAAGATAATAACATTGATTCTTTGATGCTTTTACTTTTCTTCATTTCGGTATGCATTTTGATTCCTTATCTATCTTTTATGAAGAATAAAAGACACTCATATTTACTTTGTAGGCAAAACTGAGGTCATATGTTCACACGTACACACCCTAAAAAGCGCAAAAAAAGAACATTATCGTAACTTTAACTAAATATCTTTTTCGAACTATTCGGACCTTATAAACGCATATTCTTTATTTATTATCGATAAGATGTGTACTTGTTCGTCTTGTGACAGACAAAAATAAATAGCTAATCGTAGTTTTTATTTTATATATATTCTGTTTTGTTTTGTGCTTTAGATTTACTATTATATTTTTTTTTTTGCTTTTACTTTATTATAATTCAAGCGAATGGTTTGTAAAACAGATATTTCTCCAATTAATTTATCATTATGTGGATGTGGATTTTTGGGTGTATATCATGTTGGTGTTGTATCTGCATTTAAAGAATGTGCACCTGAAGTACTTGATGGTAAAATGGCTGGATGTTCAGCTGGTTCACTTGTTGCTGCATGTGTTATGAGTGGTTGTTGTCTTGGACAAATGTGTAGTGATGCACTTGAAATAGCAATACGAGCACGTAGTCGTGCTTTAGGACCATTACATCCAACATTTAGTATTGTTGATATAATACGTAATGGTTTAAGAAGAATTTTACCACCAAATGCACATGAAATATGTTCAGGACGTTTGTTTATATCATTAACACGTTGGAAAGATAATAAAAATGTTATTATTAATCAATTTCATTCACGTGAAGAACTTATTCAAGTACTTATTTGTTCAAGTTTTGTACCATATTGGTCAGGAATTATTCCACATAAATTTCGAGAAGAAGTAACAAGAGAAGATTTAATCAAAAAAAAAAAAAAGAAACAATTACATATATTTTTTTTTCTTAGTATTATTGGGATGGTGGTTTAACTAATAATAATCCAATTATTGATGAAGAAACTATTTTAGTTTCACCATTTGCTGGTGAAAGTGATATATGTCCACGAGATGAATCTGGATCATTTTATAGTATTGATTTTAAAGGTAAGCATGTTTTTTGTTTCTACAAGGAAATATATTGAAGTCTAAAATCGCTTTTGAATCAGGACTATATACATGATGTAAATTTTAATGAGCTATGAATACTCTTTAAAAAGCTTTACGCAATTCATAGCTCATATGAATCTATATGATGCATATAGTTGTGAATCAAAAGTGATTTAACACTTGGATATGTTTTTTTATTAGTTATATTTAAAAAAAATATTTTTGTTATTTAAATAGGTACAGATATATCATGTACACAAGAAAATTTATATCGAATAACTCATGCATTATTTCCACCAAATATTTCTGTTTTAAAACAAATTTGTTGGCGTGGTTATAATGATGGAATAAAATTTCTACAAACAAGAAGTAATTTATTGATAAGAGTCTCTTTTTACATGTAAAAAAAAATATTTAATTTAGATATGGTTAAATCTTCACATTTAAGTACAAAAACAACAATATCATCTGTACTTGGTAGTGAATATACTGAACCAGCAAATGACGATGAAAAACAATTAGCTAATGGTGGTATTGGACAAGATGTTAAACGAATGTATGAAGAAGTTGATGATAGTGAAGATGAATCAATATATGATGATAGAAATTGTGATGAAAGTTCATGTCAATCTGATCAAGAATCAAATGGTGGTAGTAGTCAAGTAACATTTAGTCCATATTGTGAAAAAGTTGTACGAAAAAAAGAATTACCAACATCATTATTTGCTGGTAAAAACAAAATTTTTTTGGTTTCTTTTTTGTATGAAAATAATTTCTTTTTTCGTATACATAGTATTTGCTGATGCAAGACAAAAAGAAGAAGATCCAATACGACGATATTTTACTGAGTCAAGAGTTTATAAAGTTTGGTCATTAATGGCCTTACCATTTACATTACCAATTGATTTCACTTATGCAGCGACGAAAAGGTATAGAAGAAAATATTTCTTTTTGATTCAGTTATTAATTCAATAGAAAACTAGGATACTTTATTTAAGTAAAATAACGTGAGACGGTTTAAATTTTTGTTATCGAAAACTCGAAGGAAACAAAAAATGATAACATAAAATGTTTTTTTAAATTTATTATCAGTTAAATATCTTTGTTTTAGTTTATCAAAAAAAAAAAGAACTTACTTTGCAGTATCATTCATACACAACAAAATAATTTGATTATATATTAAAATGAAGAATAGGAATTTTTGTCTTCCTATAACAAAAAAATAATCGAGGTGTTTTTTCGTTGAATATTTTTTATCAGACAACAGTAACAAGTATTTGCCTTCAAAATTTTTCTAAGCCGACTTTTTAGAAGCTCGTAAACTTACAAGGGAAGTAGTCTAATTGCTTCCGAACTTTTGATTCTATCGTTTGGCTATAACTATATTTAAGAAGTTATATCGCAAGCATTAATATATTGAAATTTCAAATATTAATTCGACTGACTAAGGATGGATTGAAAATTCACGAGAAAAGCATTTGGTCTCAAACACCTTCTTTTATATATCAGAAACAATAAAAGTGAGGGTGTGGATGAGTAGAAGACCCACACCCACATCCACACCTACACACACCTTCACTCACATCCAACAATGAATCTCAAGACATTTGTATTAGTTCTCATAAAGATAATCGTTAAACGCAAACTTGTCTATCATTCTTGTTAATATATTTCAATTCATTAAAAAAATAATTCTATTTAGAGTCATAGGCGCTTTTCGTCCATCACCTTATACTAATGAATCATCACAACCAAATCGTGCAGTTAATTTTCTCTGGTCATTTTTTGGTGATGAAAATGATGATAAATATTGTTATCATGTTAATGAGTAAGTTAATTTAACATTTTTATTTAACTAAATTGCATAAATTGTTTTCTTTTTAGTTGTGAATGTACAGAAAGTCGAGCTTCTTCATTAGGTCCTCATCATTATCAACAACACCAACGACGACGTCATCGACGTCGTCTTCGTCCAGCTGTTCCACTAGATCCTACTCACACTCATTTTAATAAACAAAATCAAACAAGTGCACAAATTAGTACAGTAACATCATATCAATCAGATTCGTCAAGTGATAATGAAGAATCAACGACAAATAATGATGATACACAAGAATTCTCATCAGAATCAAATTTAATTGAACATTATCCTCAACCAGATATAGTTATGTCTACAAAATCAACTAATTTAAATCAAGACTATTGTCATCAATTACAACAAATGGCTGAATTATCCAATCGACAACGATATAATGAACAATCATCATCATCATCAACAATAATACCATTTTTTGGTAAAGATAATCCTTTTATGGATACAGAACATAATGAATTAATAACAACAAAACTTGAAAAGAATGTTTTATTTGATTAGAAAAAAAACATACAGCAAGAATAACAAATTAAATTACCGGTGCTTTTCTGTGTTTTCATTCAATTTATAATGTGTATAATTTTTGTTTTTATATTTATATATATATTTATATTTATGTTTGTGTGTATATATCTATTTCTGTTGTGTTTTGTAAATTAAATTATTGTTCTTTTCTGTATTGAACAAAAGCTTTATTTATGAAAAATTTAAAATTCAGAAATAGAGAGTATTTTACTATGTATATAAATATATATAGTAATACTTAGACCAGCAATGTTTGTTTTTTTTTTGTTAATTTTCTATTGTGCTTTCACAAGGGAGTTCAATGCTATAACAGTATGTGTGTTGGCTTTATGTTTTTGTAAAGTTATTTATTGGTATTGATTTTGTGTTTTTCGTTTTATTATTGTGTGTATTTTGTCAGATATTAATGTCTAATGAGAGAGATAAAATAACAAGATTTTTAATTTTATTGTTTTTATCTTGGAAAAAAAAAAACTTTCATATTATTGACCAAAGGAAGCAAAATAAAAAAAAGAAAGCAACGTACTTTTTTTTTCAATTTTTTCTTCTCACCCCTTTCTTTGCCTTTTTTTTTCTTTCTTTTTCTCTGATTTTTTTTTCAAATGATGTCATCATTCACATTCATGTTGAAAGTACTTTTATATTCATTTCTTTTCTTTATGCTTTCTGTTTTACCCTTCTCATATGGTTACCAATGTTGTTTTTGTAAAGAAGAGAAAACGAGAAAGTATGACACTGTAGTTTAATGTTTGACGCCCGACATAGAAAGAAAAGAAGACGGGGGGATGACTACATAGGCTGAGTTAAGTTTTTTTTTCTTTTTCTATTTCAACCCTTCGGGCAAGTGTAGAAGCCGAGCACATACGAATTGAATGACATGTATCAAGGCATACCATATTGATTCTCGCACTCTTATTTCTACACTAAATTACGTCATTTTAACTAATAAGCTCATGAATTGTTTCATTTTAGATAATTGTTAGTGTTTACCTTTTTTTTCCTTTTTCTTTTGTTCTCTTTTCTTATTATTTCATTTGTCCTTGAAAATGGATTTTCTTTCGACCGGTAATTCATCAGGTATCGATGATGTTGTATCAGTCAACATTAGTACAACAAAAAAATCACCAACAATTAATTATGAACAAAATAGTGATCAATATTTAAGAACATTTTCTACATGGAATGAACATGAACAATTATGTTTTGTTGAAAATTTATTAAAGCATATGAAAAGTCATCAACATGGTCAAGTTAATTTATTTCTATTACCAATGTTAAAACGTGATTTTATTGGACGTTTAGCATCCTATGGACTTGAACATGTTGCAGAAAAAATTCTTGGATATTTAGATGATCAATCATTAAAATCGACTGAACTTGTTTGTCATGAATGGTATCATGTTATATCAGAAGGTTGAATTAAATTGAAAATTGCATTCATTTTAGGAATTTTGTTTTTATCTTTCTTTTTTTGCATTTAGGTATGCTATGGAAAAAATTGATTGAACGAAAATTTCTATCAAATTCATTATGGCGTGGATTAGCCGATCGTCGTGGTTGGACTAAATATTTATTTCGTCAATTAATGATCAATGGTGAAAAACTTAAACGTCATGAATTTTATCGTCAGTTATATCCTCAAATAATACAAGACATTGAACAACTAGAGAAAAATTGGCGTACAGGAAATTTTCAATTAGAAAAAATTCAATGTCGTTCACAAAATAGCAAAGGTGTTTATTGTTTACAATATGATGATGAAAAAATTGTTAGTGGTCTTCGTGATAATACAATTAAAATTTGGGATAGAAAAACTCTTGAATGTATTAAAGTTTTAACAGGACATAATGGTAGTGTTTTATGTTTACAATATGATGAAAAAGTTATTGTTACTGGTTCATCAGATTCAACTATACGTATATGGAATGTTAAAACTGGTGAATTACTTAATACACTTTTACATCATTGTGAAGCTGTATTGCATTTACGATTTTCAAATGGTACCATGGTAACATGTTCTAAAGATCGTTCAATTGCTGTATGGCAAATGAATTCTCCAACAGATATAACTATACGTCGTGTATTAGTTGGACATCGTGCTGCTGTTAATGTAGTAGATTTTGATGATAAATATATTGTTAGTGCAAGTGGTGATCGAACAATTAAAGTTTGGGTATGCATAAGACTAAGTTTTTTGTTTCGATGACATGTTGTGTTTGATTTTCTTTTAATAGGATACAACAACTTGTGAATTTGTTCGAACACTTCTTGGTCATAAACGAGGTATTGCTTGTCTACAATATCGAGATCATATTGTTGTTAGTGGATCTTCAGATAATACTATACGAGTAAGTTTTATTGCCATTGTTTATCAAATATTAAGAATGTATAGGGCAAAGTCTGAATAAGAAATATTTTAAAAATAATCTTTCTAATTTTGATTCGGAAATAATCTAATAACAAGTATTCGTTTTATGCAAAAAGAATCTTGATTATGTTTTTCTTCCTGTCAATATTATATTCTGAATATTTTCTTGATTTAATTTTTCTTGTTCGTCTAGGTTTGGGATATTGAATGTGGCGCTTGTCTTCGTATACTTGAAGGACATGATGAACTCGTTCGATGTATTCGTTTCGATTCTAAACGTATTGTTTCGGGTGCTTATGATGGTAAATCAATTTTTGTTTCTTGTTCCTTTAAATAAAAACAAACAACTTCATTGTTGATTTTGTTTATAACAGGTAAAATCAAAATTTGGGATCTTCAAGCAGCACTTGATCCACGTTCTCAAACAGCATCACTTTGTATAAGAACTTTAAGTGAACATACAGGACGTGTATTTCGTCTACAATTTGATGAATTTCAAATCGTTTCAAGTTCACATGATGATACAATACTTTGCTTTAATTTTCTCCAACCCGAATCACCAAATTCATCGATACAACAACATTCACCATCTAGTTTAGGTGTATGTCAAACACAAATAACAAGTTTTATACCATCATCAACAACTATAGACTCGTCCAATAATGGAAATATAAATGAAAACAATCAAACAACAACACCAACAAATGTACTACAAAGTCAAGTTTCTGTTCAATCAACAACATCATCATCATCTAGTTCGGGAAAATAAAATTTCGGTCGAAAAAACAGCGCGAATTCAATATTGAATATAAAAAAAATCCATTCTTTGAAAAAAGTCGAGTCTGGTTTTTTTTCTCGAATCTCGCGCATTGTCTTGTCTTTGAATATCCCTCTATGTGTCTGATATCTCTCTTTCTCTTTGTCTTTTGTCCATATATATGTATGTTTTCAATCGAGGAATAGAAAGACGTATGTTCTATTATTATATTTCTGTTCGTCTTCATCTAGATTAACTGTTGAATGATCAACAGTATATATAATATATTTTTGTATACAAAACACGAAATAGAAGAAAAGAGAATAAAAAAAATTGCTTTTTTCTCTCAATCTCTATCCTTGCCTGTTTATGATTAAAGCGACATCTAGATTGATGAAAAAATAAGATATTGTTTTTTTTTTTCGAAGAAAAACATTTGATTTCGATTAAATAAAAACTAATAATTATTCAAGATTGAATATTATTTCAATAAATTAAGTTAATTAATAAAATGATATAATTGGTGAAAAAGTCTAAGCCAGTTATATGATTGATATTAATCAAAAAAGAAAAATTAGAAATATACTTTATTAATTGTCATTATCGGAGAAAATCAATATCGTATATCATTTATTTATATTTTTTTTTGCATTTTCGATTCATTGATTTTAGATGATGCATATACATGATTAGAATATTTTAACGAGAAGAATTCGTGATATTAAATCTCGAAGATTCAAATTTCTTCTTATCAATAAAAGAAGTCTAGATGAAATTTTATCACTTTTCTTTTGACAGATGTCTATGCGAAGATCGAATAAAAGCAGCCAGGTATGATTAAATAGTAGTTCTTTAGACTAGTAGTACTCGTACTGTTTGACGTATTCACCAGTTCGATCATTTAGTGCATAGAATGTTGTCGATCTGTAGAGGAACTAAATTTTGCTAAAGATAGTGTTTTAATGGAAGTTTTTGTCAGTATCTAATAGTAAGTAATATCTGTCTACTATAATTTCTGTGCCTTAGGGGACAAGAGTTTAGATGATTTTTTTTTCTATCGATGTGAAGGAAAAAAAAACCATATGTGAATAGATAATAATGTGAATATTATGTAATTAGATTTAAGATGAAGATAATATTCGTTGTAGTTTTGCAAATAGATATATGATTAAATTCAAATTAATGATTAATAGATCACAATTGTTGTTTTTATTTATAAATAAAAAATCGTGCTTATTCAACATTTGTTATATTTATATGACATTCGTATTTAATTGATTACAAGGTTTTAAAAGTCTTGTATGAATTATCGATAAAACCTGTTTCTGATAAATATTTGTTTCTTATAAACAAATGATTTGTATGATAAGAATAAATTACGTCATAGACACATACGTTTATATTATATGATGTTTCCAATCTATAGAATAAATGATAAATGTAAACGACCTTGTTGAAAGGTTTTTATGCATTCTAATACGAAGCTCAAGTTGAATATTCTTTACATGATAGTCACGCAATTGTTTAATTGTTTTTTTCCTTTTTTGGTTTTTTTATTCGTTTGCATTTTTTCTTTCTTTTTTTTTGATGAACACAATTTTTCTCTTTAGGATAATACACATATGATAGAATAAGAAAAGTCGGATGTAGATAATTAGAATGGTATTACGATGGCCTCGACGTGTCAATCTCACGAGGATATAAATGAATAGGACTTCTTCTTTTTTTTTTCTTTTGAAAATTCTCTTGGTTTTCTTCTTTTTTTGTTTTATACCTAAAATGATTGATCGATTTCGTCAATAATTTACTTCCCCTCGAGCATGTGGTATTCATTTTGAACATTTAAGTATGTTTATTTATATATTTTTTTCAGATGAATAAATTCTATTCATCAATTACTATTATCCATAGCTTCCACTTGTCATCATGTCTCATGAACAAGAACGACTGCCAACACTACTACTATTCAACCAATATTTAATCCAGCATCATTATTGGACACACTGAACGCAAAAGAAACACAGAAAAGGAAAGGAGGAAAAAAAAAGAAGAGAGACGAGAACAAGAAGAAGACGAAGGAGATGCCTTCTAGATGAACTCGACACATTACTTTGTATGTGGACATTTTCTTCAACGATTTCCCTGGTAAGTTGAATAGCTAACCAAGAGAGAGACATGACACCTTTTTTTTTTGAATTAATAAGAAATAGAAAAAAGTAATTAATGTCAATCAGAATGTATCTAAAAAGGAAAACTTGACATAGTAAACACAAGTGCATCTCATTAATAAATCGGAAGTTGCTGTCTGACAGAATATTCTTTGCCTTTGAAACTCATCGATATATATATATATAGAGAGAGAGAGAGAGAGAGGACTAATCAAACCGTTGCTGTACACATAATATATCTGGTTCTAATGAAAAAAAAGATGCACGCACATACAATCGAATGAGTAAACATGTCCGTTCTTTCTGAAGTATGTATATGTGACAAATCGAGAAGCAGATGTTGACTATTCTATAGAAAATAAAAAAAAAGAAAAAGACAGCGAAAGATGATTATCGAACTATATAAGAATTGTTATATGTGTTCATCACATTCACATTCTTAGCATCATTTCTGTTTTTCACATTAGGCATTCTTTCTTTTTCTCATTTATTATGTGATAGTTTTTTGTTACAACAAAAAGTTTTATCAATCATCTTCGGAAATAAGAAAATGTAAAAAGAATGTCAGTTGTACATTAGATAGTTATGTAAAACTTATTGTATAAAAGTGAAAATAAGTAATTTTAGGATAAGCATAACATGTGAGTAAACTATTTCTATTGTGCATGAATAAATTCATTTTCCATTTGATGATGGCGCGGCGGCGGCGCCGGAGAAAGTAGACATACATTAACAACATCATGTAATATAATGAGGAATGCAAGGTAGAACGAACTAATAGTATAAACAGACGGAAAGACAAAGACAGATCGAATGCAGTTCTACTCTCGTTTTTTTTTGTTTTTACGCAATTGTTCATCGCTCAATTTTCTCCCATGTGTAAGTGCAAAATCATTGATGATAAGTAGATCGATTCCGTGTGGTTCTTTCTTATGTGTGTACATTTGTACGAAGGTTCTTTTTACGTCTTTCTGACGTAAGAAAATATGGATCCATCTTTATTATCACGATGAACGTATGAGTAAGTAACTCAAGATAAGTATGATCCATTTAGACACCCAACATGGTGACTTAAGACATCAATGAGACATGTGTCAGATTTATTGATCGATCTATATATAATAACAGTGACACTTAAACCTACATTACAAATAGTTATAAGCATGTAAGCATGTTGTTTGAAAGCAGAAGGTTAATGACATGTCTCGGCATGTGTAGAAAATGTGTGACCTTGATTGGTTTGAGTTTTGTGCTCATCGTATTTAATTTTTCCCTTGTTTCGCTTTTATGTTAATTCCCCAAGAGGATCTCTTTTTTTTTTAGTTAGTTTTGAAAAGAAAAGAAAAACGCGTGTTTGATGCTATTTCTCTACATAAGTCGAAAGACAATCAATTGTGATGAAATAAAAGATACATTCATTTTTTGCTATGCACTCTAGTTGATTATCATAAATTGTTAAGTATATGTCTATTGTAGATAAGCAATTGATCTCTTATATTGTTAATCGTATTAATCATTAAATATTTAAGTCTAAGACGAATCGTGACCAATAGACAACGAACAATGTGATATGGCCGAAAGCTATTCGGCGTCATTATCGAGGACATGCTTATTGTTGTTACCCGTCATATCATTGTTACTATTGATTTAATTCTCTTTATCATCGTCACATTTGCTAAAATTGAAAATTTGAAATATACAAACGAATTTGTTTTACATGTTAATGAAGGTGAACAAGCAGCTCGATCATTAGCTGAAAAATATCACTTAAAATTTGAACGACAAGTAAAAAACAAAAATTTTTATTTATTTATTAATTTTGCTTTAATATCATTTATTAAAAGGCTATACCAAATCAAAATTATTTTGTATTTCGTCAAATAATAACAACTCGACGACGAAAACGTTCATTGGATGGATCTGATAATGATCTACTTAATGAACTTAAACATGATCCATTAATTGATTGGGTTGAACAACAACAAGTTAAAATACGTGTTAAACGTAATATTATGTTTTATCATCCAATTAAATCATCTTTACCTTCAAGATTTAATGATCCAGAATGGGATAAACAATGGTATATGGTAAGTATTTATTCTCTTTGAAAATAATTTTCAAAATCATTATTTATTTTTTTTATCTTGTTTTCCTTAAAAGCATGATGAAAATGAACATGGCCGAGCAATGAATATATCAGGTGCATGGCGTCTTGGTTTTACTGGTAAAAATGTTGTTGTAACAATACTTGACGATGGTATTGAGAAAGATCATCCAGATTTAATACAAAATTATGTAAGTATATATATATACACAATCTCAATGTGATGTGTATTGCATGTTTGCATGTCAAAAAAATAAATTTCTAGGAACCACAAGCAAGTACAGATATCAATGGTTATGACAATGATCCACAACCACGTTATGATCCAACAAATGAAAACAAGTAGAAAAGACTTTTGCTTTTTGTTGATTTTTATTGGGACATATGAAAAGACAATGTATATATGAGAGCTAAATTAGACTTAATATTGTTTATAGGAACCGCGTGCTAGTTATGATATCAATGGAAATGACAGCGATCCACAACCCCGAATGACAGCGACTAATGATAATAAGTAAATAGAGGACGAGGATTTTCACATTGACAATACTATGATAAATTTGTTTGTATTTTATTTATCAGCATGTTTAGAGATGAGAATGATGTTTACTTATTTCTTTTTTTTTTGCTGTACTGCATGATTTATTAGTTCTTATATGATAAATGAGAAAGTATGAAAAATTATATTTGAATTTTTTTTGTTTCTTCTATTCATTAGACATGGAACAAGATGTGCTGGTGAAGTTGGTAAGATTTAGAAGAAGTTCGTTGGATTTTTTCGAAAATAATTATTTTATTCTTTTTTTTCAGCTGCTGCAGCAAATAATAATATATGTAATGTTGGCGTAGCATATAATGCACGTATTGGAGGTAAGACTTTAAAAAACTGATAGACTTTGAGACGCTTTTTTGGATTTTATGTTTTAGGTATTCGTTTATTAGATGGAGAAGTAACTGATTTAGTTGAATCTATGGCATTAAGTTTTCGTCCGGATTTTATTGATATTTATTCAGCTAGTTGGTAAGCAAGTTCTTATTTTTTTTATATCATAAATTATTTATGAAGGAAATTAATTCAGGGGACCGGATGATGATGGAAAAACTGTTGATGGACCAGCTACATTAGCACAAGCAGCATTTGAAAATGGCATTAAATATGTAAATTCTACCATCAACAAAAAAAAAAGGAAAAAAGAATTTATTCTTTTTTTCTTTCTTTAGGGTCGTCAAGGTCTTGGTTCTATTTATGTTTGGGCATCCGGAAATGGTGGAAAAGATGATGATAATTGTAATTGTGATGGTTATACAAATTCAATATATACAGTATCAATATCAAGTGCAACTGAAAATGGTAATATACCATGGTATTCCGAATCGTGTTCATCAACATTAGCAACAACATATAGTAGTGGTGCATCAGATGAAAAACAAGTTGTTTCAACTGATCTTCGAAGTCAATGTACAGAAAATCATACAGGTAAATTAGATTTTTAGAATTTAGTTTTAGAAGTTTTTTATTTCTCTATTAAAGGAACATCAGCTTCAGCTCCAATGGCTGCTGGTATAATTGCATTAGCACTTGAAGCTAATCGTAATTTAACATGGCGTGATATTCAACATTTAATTGTTGAAACAGCTAAACCAAAATATTTAAATGCATTAGATTGGAAAACAAATGGTGTTGGAAAACGTGTTAGTCATGCATTTGGTTTTGGCATGATGGATGCTGCTCAATTAGTTTTAAAAGTAAGAAATTAAAATTTTATTTCGAAGAAGAAAAATTATTTTGTTTTTTTTGTTGGTTTTCCTTAGGCTCAAAAATGGAGAACAGTCCCTTCTCAACGTATTTGTCATCAAAATGATCCAAATATAATTGCAAAGTAAGTTAATCGTTCGAAATAAAATAATATGTTTGAAATATTTTATATATAGAACATTTAAAAGATATGAACGTGTTGTTATTCAAATGTATGCTGATGCTTGTATCAATACAGAAAATGAAATTAATTTTCTTGAACATGTACAATCAAAAATATCTGTTAAAGTTAAATATCGTGGTATGTTAGGATGTTTTCCGGAATATATATTTATCATCATTTTATATATTTTTTTTCTTCTAAAAGGAAATTTACAAATATTTTTAACTTCACCAATGGGTACAAATTCAACATTACTTGGACGAAGAGTTGAAGATGATTCTATTGATGGATTTAATAATTGGCCTTTTATGACAGTGCATAATTGGGGAGAATCACCACATGGGCTTTGGACTTTAGAAATTGTTGATGTCGAAAATAATGGTTAGTAGTAGTGTTCTATTTAGTATAGAAATTGAGAGCTTGACACTCCTCCGAACATCGGATTAGCTCTCAAGGAATTTATGGTTATCCTTCGGTAAAGTTCTGTTTGATCGAAAGTAAAAATGTCGAAGGGTGATATGTATATTGAAGAGTGGAAGCAATATCTATGCTTTTCTGATATGTCGAAACAGAAAAAGAAGCGATCGACAGCATCTGATCTTCTCTATGATAAAAAAGTTATGATTATTCAATAGAAAAATTATTTAATATTGGTCAACTAACCAGGGAAAGTTTTCAACTGAAGTATCGCTTTTGAATTCAGGCTCTGTGTGTAAGATACAATTCAGTAAATTATGCAAAAACTTCAAAAAATAAGTCTCCTAAAACATTGTGTTCAGAGTTATAGGCCTTTAACTAGAATTTCAGTCTCTAGTATTACATATGTCAACGAAAATCGGAATGACAGTATTTCGACTTAAGACTTTGTCCATACACTAATCTATTTGTCAGAAGAATATTCCGAAAATTTCAGCTTAACCCTTTGAGAACGGTGAAACATATTTGTCTCACCTATTTTTCAGTACAGAAAATGTTCGCACTACATTAAACTGTTACAATCTTTAAGGTAAATAGACAGCTTATCTGCCGCCTCATGAAGGTCTTTTCTCTCTTTCTTTCTGTCATATAAATCCTTCTCAGATGTCCTCCTTTCTTTCTGCTACTGTATACTGACGCATGATTTCTCTTTCTATTCTCTCGATGCATTATCATCAGGTTTTTATCTGATCATTTTAGGCCAAATACAACAGATTGATTGAAGAACCATTTTTCGATTGAAAAAAAATTCCGTTCTCAAAGAGTTAAAAGAATGCTTCCTTGCGGTAATATTAAATTGCCCAAAATTACTCATATTTCACGAGAACTACTAGAATTTTCTGTTTTTCTGGCACTTGAATATCTCACCAGGGAAACATTTTTTGGAACTGACATTTTCAGAACATTCTACTAACGAATAGTCCTGTATGTAGGCAAAACTCTCAGATTAAAATATCGTGAATTCGATTTCTTTGTATATACCATGCCAAAGGCTAAAATTCTAGTAAAATGCCTATATCTCGGGTCGGAAGTTCTAAGGGAACATATCCTTTAGAGTTTATTCCAATTTCATTGAAGTCTATTTTATGCACAGAGTACGAATTCAAAAGCGATTGGTCATCTAAACACTATTTCGTTTATCATTGGCTCTTTTATCTCCTATGTCATCAACTGTAGTTTTAATGTTTACTTTTTTTTTTCTTTTAGTTATTTTTCTCAATTGGTCTTTAGTTTTTTATGGTACACAAATAAATCCTTCTCATCAATTACCCACAACAACAACATCTCCAAAATTCGTCTCTACAAATATTCATCTTTATCCATCTGATGAACTCAATAATAATCTTGTTCGTTCACATTCGTCAAATCTTCATAACTCTTTTCATACTCGACATCGTGAAAAAAATCGTAAAAATAAACAACAAAATAATTATTATATAAAACATCATTTTTATCCATATAATCCACCATCATCATCTCCAACACCACCAATTATTGATGATTTTTATCAAATTGAAATGTCAAATACCTATCGAATGAAACCATATGTGGCATTTATTTTAATTTTAATTTTAATTCTTAATCATGTTTAAATATTTTTGATTGTATTTGCTCATATCATTCAGTATTTTTTACATCTTATTAAAAAAAAAACAAAATGTTTTGTTGTTTTGTCTTTGTAGTGTGTAAATTAAAAGAAGAAAGTCACCAAAAAAGAAAAAAAATCAAATCATTATTTTTCACGCTTTTGTTTTTCTTTAGTTTGTGAAATATAGAAAAGTACAAATAAGTTAATTGTAGAATGTTTTGCCTTTTAGAAATATGTCGGGTATAGCTTATTTTTTTAAACCAAAAATAAGTGCTACAGATACAGCATCATCAACAACAGAAAAACGTCCTGGTCGACGTTCGAAATCAACAAAATCATCTGAAACACCAATAATAATTGAAAAAAATGTTCAAACACTCGAACCAACAGATGAATCTCCAACTGAAACAAAAATAATTCATGATGAACAAACAGAGAATCCTCAAACACCAACACCTAAAATAAAATTAAAATTTAATTTACGTTCACAATCTGTTCAAGATACATCCGATAATCGAATTATAACAAATATAACACATGAAACAAATGATTTATCAGCTGATGAATCATCTGATAATGAAATTCGTTTAAAAATTGATGATAATAATGAAAATTTAGATGAAGAACAACATTCACCATTACCTATTAAACATGATGAATTATTATTAACAATTAATTCACCATCGAAAAAAAAACAACAATCATCACGTAAAAAAGTTATTAGTCGTTTAATTGGTACAACAGTTAATACACTTTCACTTGATGAACCAAGTCCAGTAAAAATTCCACCACATGAATCACAATTTAGTGAAGTTAAACAAACAAAATCAGGTCGAACTATTAAATATACACCTTATTTTAAAGAACTTGTTCAAGGTGCAACTATATCACCACCATTATCACCTGTTCATTCAACTACACAACCAAAACGTCCATCAACATATTCAAAAAAGAAACAAACGCCAATTAAAGCTGATCTTGAAGCTATTAAAAATGGAAGTTTACCAACTACAGTTAATGTTAAAGGAAGAAAATTATCTACTGGATCACCTAAAAATAAAAAACAAGCAACAGCATCAGTTAAACGTGTTGGACAAGGAAGAAAATCAACAACACCTAAAAGTGTTTCTAGTAGTAAGCGAAAAAGTTTTATTTTAAATAAAATAAACTATAGATTTGATTAGAACAGTAACTTTGAGCGTTTGTTCTTTTGAGTTAGCATTAAATAGAAAAAAATATAAGTTTATTTGTTAGGACTATGATTGTCTTTATATGCAATTGAAATATGCTATACGTCAAGGAAGATCAGTCTTAGATATATATTAATATCTTCAAAGGCTTTCTAGGGAAGTTGAGAAAGTCAGACGAGCATTATGAAGATGAATTATGAAAGACTTATAGATTTATCGAAAATGAATAATTTTTGATACTGCTCATATTCTATCATTCTTATTTTAAGTTAACCTTACATCTTTCTGTTGTCCATAGTTATTTAAACTCCCTTAACGAAAGTATATCTAATATGTTTGTCTTCTCTTATAAGTTTGATTTTGATTAAAACATAATATTTAAGAATAGAATTTTGTCTTAAAAAAAAAAACTTTTGTTTATAACTGCAGATATGTTTCATGGTCATATTAATTCTTTATTTAGCTAAAACGAAACGTGATTCGAATCAAATGGTTATTGGTGACGAAGTTGAAAGTGATGATGAAAATGAAGTAACACAAAGACGAAGTGATGATGAAGAATTTCGTAATATTATTTTTTCTTTCTAACATGTTTTTTTTTTGGATTATTATCTAAAATTTTTTTTATTTTTAGATCAAGAAGAACATACATCAGAAGAAGAGGAAGAAGATGATGATGAAGGTTTAGATGTTGATGATGATCATTCAGCCGGTGCATTAAGTGATGAAGAAGAATGGACAACAATTGGTAATAAACAAGAACTTGATCGAACATTAGGTTTAGCTGCCACATTAGGTTCAATGTCAAGTGAAATGCTTGATGGTTTTAGTTTATGGGCTATGAAATATCGTGCACGTCATCGAACAATGACACTTGATGATAAACGTCTTTATCGTACATGGAAAAAAATGAGTGCACATGATCGACAACGTTGGTGTCTTAAAGCTGAAAAAGAAAGTTATCATTATCCAATAACAGCTGAATTATTAAAAGCATCAACTAGTACTGAACCAGCAACAGCAATACCACCATCATCATCAACGACAATAACAACAAAAACTACTAAAGCAACAAAACGAAAAAAACCTACAGATGATCATCCACCATTACTTTTACAAAAAACTTTAAATCAATATTCTAAACAACAACCACCATTATCATCAATACGACCACCGAATGCTTTTGTTAAACAACCAATAACAACACCAATAATTACACCACCAAAAAATTATGATATTGTTGATATAGCTGCTGGAATTTATTTACTTGGTGAATCATTAACAAAAATGGGTGAAAAAGTTCGACAATTAGGTCATCTTAATCCTCGTGGTACATCAGCAGCAACATCAATTGATAATCTTTCAGCTATTCTTTTCGATGGAACATTATGTGCATGTAATTTAATGGCTTGTCTTGGTAATGAAATAACATCAACAAATTCATCAACATCAAAATCAGATCCATTAACAAATAAACTTATGGAAAATGTTGGAATTATTTTACCTGGACTTAATTAAATAAAAAGTTTTGTTGTATTAAATTTATGTACACATGTCTGTATACTAATATAAATAAAAGGATGTTAAAAAATTATATAAAAAAAAATATCTCTATATTGTTCTGTTAGATTTTATGTGTATGTATATATTATGCATTTATTTTTAGATGCAACGCACACCAGTTATACAACCGACTACAACAGTCGATAAACTTATTCAAGATGAAGATAATGCTAATGAAACAGTTATATGGAATGTTTTTCGTAAAATGCTTTTCTTTACTGTTATGATGACATTGGCACCAATTACATCGTTTTTTCTTACGAAAGATTATATATTTGCAGGAATACTTAATATAACAGATACTAGTAGTTATATTTATTCAGCTGCTGTAGCTGTTATTGTCGTTCATATTATATTAATTGCTTTTCTTTATGTCGCATTTCGTGATGATCGATCAGGCAAGAAGACAAAAATTGAACTTATGAAAGAATCAACTGGAAAGAAAGACTAAATTTATTCATTTTTATATTTTTGTGCATCTTGATTATAGCAATAAAAAAAAACACAACAAATTTCTTCGTATTTTATTCAAAATTTTAAATATTCAAGAACTCAATAGATTACCTGAATTAACCTTTTCCATATTTATTCAAACTTAGAGCCTATCAAGTTGGTTCCAAAAAGTCAGTCATTCTCATCATACTTTCTCTATGTTCTTGACGAAAGTACTATGAAAGTGTTCATTTTCTCTTCATTTGCATTTATATACCCACGTTCTCTAGAACAATCTAACTAATAAAATGATAGGGCTCATACTCATCTTAAATTTAGATCATTTGACTAAAGATGCATAATCTTTGATTTACAAACAATATGATACTCATTATATTCTAGATATGACTACACATCATATTCGTTTAGTATTTGATTTAATCGGAGATTTATTTCCTGATGGAACATCAAAAGAAGTTGCTTCATATCTCAATCGTAAAGGTCCATTATCATTTGCTCTTCTTGTTCGTGATCTTAAAATTCCAGCAGTTAATATTGCACGATCTCTAGCAACTTTAGCTATACATGATATAATAGAATGTCATGGAGGTACTGGTTCAGATTCTAAACGTATTTTATATGCCTTTAATCTCAAACGAACATTATATATTTTACATTATTCAAAATGTATACATTGTGCTAGACAATTATATGGTTTTGATGGTGAATTAATTATTGAAGAACTTTTATTAAATGGTAAACAACGTATGAGTACATTATTAGTTAAAGTATATGAACGTTTAATAAAAGCTGGCAAAGATCCTCAAGTTCATAGTTTACAATCAATAAAAGAATCATTTAAATTATTAGTTTCAGCACAATTTTTACAATGCATTACAATAAATGAAACGAAATCTAATATTTCTGAAGTAGTTGAAGAACCATTAAGCAATCTTGTACAAATACCAGAATTAACACAAGAAGGATGGAAATATTTACTATCAAGTCAACAAGATGAATCAAATGAGCCATCAACAAAAAAATTTAAATCAACTAAACCAATATTTGGTGATGAAAAAATTTTTTGGAAAGTTAATTTTCAACGGTTTTTTGCTTATTTACGTGATCAAGAACTTATACAAGCATTTACAAATCGAATAGATCAAGTAAGACTTAAACCAAAAAAACAAAAATTAATTTTTTTTTGTCTTGCTTTAGAATGCCGGTGAAATCGTTCGAACAATACTTCGTTTAGCTGAAGTAAAACCAAATTCAGAACGAACTATACCAATATCATTTATTGAAGTCAATCATTTTTCTTTCTCTACGAAAAAAAAAATTTTTTCTTTGTTTATAGATTGCCAAAACGATATCAACAACTGGTTTACAAATGAATGAAGACTTATTACAAAAATATATAAATGCTATTATGGGTGATGTAGTAAGATGAATTTATATAATTTAAATATGATTGAATAATAAAATTTTTCTAGAATAATTGTTTTATAAAAGTTGGTGATCAAGGAAGAGGAACTTATATTGTGGGTAAGAAAAGATTTGATTTCGATTTGTTTTTTTTTCTTTTTTGTCAAAATATAAATCATCTGTTGTTGCTCTCTTGTTTCTTTTTGAAGATTTTCAAAAAGCATTGAGTGGATTAACTAAAGCTCATATTCAATCATTTTTAAGAGAAAGATTTGGTTCAAATGCATTAAGAATTTATAATATGCTTGAAGAACGTGGTTGTTTATCACAAAAACAAGTAATTTATTTATGTCAATGATGAATTTTTATCTTTTGGTTTTTACTTAGATTGAAGATATGGCTATGATCAATGCAAAAGAAGCACAACAATATGTTTATTCAATGTTTATTGATGGAATGTTAACATTAGAAGTAGATTTTTTTATTGTTTGCTTATTATTCTTCTTCTATAATTTTTACTTTTTATTGTAGGAATTATCAAAAGCAAATGATTTTAATCCAACTCGAACATTTTATTTCTTTCGTGTAAATTTATACAATGGTGTTTTATCATTACTTGATCATTCTTATAAAGTAAATCAAAAATAACAAAAATAAATCTCTTGTTGATTTTCCTATAAAATTTTCTTCTTTTAAAATAGACAATGTCAAATTTAATGCAAAGACATCAATATGAAAGAGAACGTCATAGGAAATTAATTGATAAACGTGATAAAGTTGATGCTATTATTCATACACTTCGAGAACAAAATGCTGAAGAAGAACAAATTAAAGAAGTAGAAGATATATTATCACCTATGGAAAAAGCACAAATACAAAAACTTGATGCTGCTTTTAGAAAGTATAATAATAATAATATAGTCATCTTTTATATTTATTTACGATTGATTTATTTTCATAGAATTGATCTTGCTCAACTTCAACTTACAGAAACAATTCTACTACTTGAAATGTATTTATCAATATCGAACAGTACTGTACCTGTGCAGAAAAAAACTGGTGGTAAAGCCGTTGCTGAAAAATTATTAGAAACAATCTCACAACGATGATTAATAATATAATATTTCATGTGTTATTTGATTTGAAATGTGAACATGTGTTTTTTTTTCTGATAAATTAAACTTATACGATACAATTAAATATAACTTGTCTGTCTAAATTGTTATGGCTACTTCTTAATTGCGGACAAAATTTCAGCCCTCACCCACACTGTCGGCATGCTAATTGGTTTGATTTTCGTCCGCAATCAAGAAGACACGAATTGTTATTTATGATTGAACAAAGGAAAAAAATCTGTCGAAAGAAGAAATTCTCAATACATTACCAACAAGACGTGGAAAGCTCTGTTTCTATTTACAAAGCCATTTCCCTGTTCTTAAACTTATCCAGTTCCATAGAAAGCCTGGAAGAGCCTGCCAGGATTCTAAATCACAAAGATCTTAGCAAGTTTTATTTAGGATCCTGTCTGGAAACCTAGTCATTTCTGTTTGTAGGTTTCTCATAATAAAACACAATCCTTGTCAACATTTGTTCGAGTTCCTACTTAAATGTTTTTCCAAAATGAGAATGCAAGATTCTGCCCAGATATTATCAAGTTCATGTCAAAGTCTCGTCCAACTCGTTGTATAATAATCTTATTAGGATTTGTAACTACATCCGAAGAAGATCTTAGCAAGAAAGAAATAAAATTAGTCAGAATCCTAAAGTGAAAAAATCCTGGCAAGATTTCATCAGGTTCTTGTTCAAACAGTGTTCTGCTATTTTTGCAAGTTTTCGTCAAGATCTGTTCTTTATTCTGATACGAAGATTCAGTCAACAGTTGATTTTAAATTAGAGGACGATCTTAACAAAAATAATGCAAGACTAGTCAAAATTCTAACTGAATAAAGCCTCTCAAGTTTTGATCGACATCCTACTCGATATTTGTTAGGGATAAGCATTTGCTGATTCTTGCAAAATAATACCAATCACCGTTAGAATCTTGATAGGACAATGCAAGGATTCAGCTTAGATCTTTGAAAGTTTGTGTTTAGAATCTTTTCACAATTTGATTTTCGCGTTTCTATCCCGATTTATAACTGATTCTTCTCAGGATCCTAACCAAGATAAACGTCAAGATTTCATCGAGGTTTTTCGCTGGTCTGCGTTCATTATTTGCTTATGCCTTGTAAATCTTTAAATCATCGCCCGAATTTTAATATTCACCTTAATTAATATTATTAATATGCTTGACGTTTCGCAGCTATGTTTTTTTTCAGGATTTATAGTTTCTTAAACCAATTGTTGGTTTTATGTCTAGTAGTAAATTGCTCCAAATTATGTTGTTTTAAATCCTCTCAAAATCTTGACATTCCATGGCTACACGCTTTCTTCAGAACAAAACAGTGAATCGTTGCAGAATTCTTATTGGCTGTGTCAAGGACTTCATCCGAAAACATTGATACGACAATATAAGAAAAAAGAGACAAAAAACTTCCAGGTATCATAAGAAGAAAGCAAAATATGACACAGAATCATCCATTAAGCTTAAAGAAAAGAGAAAAAAGTCTTTGATACAAGCAATGAATTATTCTTTTTATTCCAATGTAACAATTATTTAATGCACGAAGAAAAGAAAAAGAAGAAGAATATTCTCATCAATTTGATGAATTATTTCTATCCATAATAAAATTACTGTTGCATTTTGAACAGAAAAAGTAATTAAACTATACATAGAAATAATTTATTCAATTGATGAGACAAAAGAATAATAGTTGAATACATTGAAAATGATGACTTCTTATATGGTTCGAGAATTTCGATGATGGGAATCTTAGAATTTCAAAACTGTATCTCGATGTTTTGTTTTGTCTTTGAAATCTTCTTTTGAAATGGAAGTGAAGTTTGATGATTTTTTTCTTTATTATTAATATTACCTCCAAAAAAAAGCGAAAAATAACGTTTTATTTTTCATAGGAACTCTAATGCTTATTGTGAACAATATTTCCAATAGGTTGTCTCAAAAACAAATGAATAAAAAATATTGAATAGACAAGAAAAAAACAAATTTCAAATATATTTATGATTATTGATTCATACGTCATTGATGTCTTCATCATGGCCTACTTTGAAGCATATATGCGAATCGACTGTAAAATGAGGCAAAAATTTATGACCACCATCTAATTAAAATAATTTAGTCAAAATCAAGCTTCATACTTGAAAAAAATTCATGTCTTCCGAAAACTTTCTAATCAGGTCTATCGGTAAATTTCGTTTGGAGTCAGTATTGAATAAGTGACAGTAGAAACTTCTTAAAGGTGTCTCTGAGATGCTATGTAAATTTTATACATTCCTAAGTCAAGTATATAGGAAAAATATTACGTATTGAGATTTTTGGACACATCTGTTGTCATTAAAAATGTTCCAATCGCACTTGTTACTATTCTACATTATTTCTGTATTTACTCAATAGTTTTTCGGATATCTTCATGCTTGAAACTGTATGTTTTCTAAGAATATGTTAATGTTAGATCTCTATTTTTCGATTTACTTTATTGTCATACTAATTCATAACCAGTTTGTGGGTCATCTGCTACAATAACTGTTTACAAAAAAAAGAAAATCAACAATCAATATTAATGCAAAAGACAAACCAAAACAATCTTTTGTACAAGGGTATAACATTATAATAATAAAAAGGGAGCGAAAAATACTTGATAATATACTATGTCAATACAATGCAAACATTTAGTTTATTTTCAATAAACATCTTTAACTTTAATCTAACTATTCATCATTGTATATTGTTTCGTAGCATATATTGATTTTCATTTGATACAACCATAATGATTTTTACATGTCATTATTCAAATGATTAATATGGCCAATTCCAATCAATTGTCACCAAGTATGACTTGAAAGTTCATCACTAGCTAAATCACAAATATCTAATTAAGAAAAAAAATTGGAAAAACAAACGAAGAAGAATCTTATCATCCTACATACACGACTAACAACTGCTTCATTGAATTTACTCATTGTAATGAGTGTAATGAAAAGTCCAGAATGATATGATCTGGATGATGTTTCATTATAATTTGCTTTTTTAATCTTGAGTCATTAGCTACACTGTACCTAATTCTATGCTAAAAAACTCTGAAGACTTTTAAATCTGAATATCAGTTTTCCGATTAGAGTTTTCTTATCAAAATAATCCATAGTATTAATCAAAATTAATGCTAATCTGACAACTATAATATAACCGCTATTGCAAAATGATGATGAAATACATCACAATCATTCGAATTTTACTAATAAGAACGTTCAATGCCTAACATAGAATAAATTTGAACCAAATTATAAAATGTATCAAAATACGCACTTCATTCCTTTTTTTATGATTGATGATCACTTTTACAAATCAATCGCCAACCATTAATCAATGAATAGTATCAATAGTGGGCATAATATAAAGCGAAATATATCTTGAAAAATACAGTTTACAGGAATAGTTGCTCATGAAACGGTTTGAGCAGAATATTATAGTTGTTACTATCTCAAGAACAGTAATAATAAAGAAAAACACTGATAAAACATCTCTGACTGAAATAGTCTTACTGATGATAAATTTGGTAAAATATGAAAAATTTACCCTTCTTCTGTTTTTCTATTTTTATGGCTTCAAATGTCTCATTTTCTTATATTGGAGTTATTACTTGATCTTGTTCCTTTATATTCTATAATACAAAAATTTTTCATAAATATATCAAAGCAATCGTACAAAAGTTGTGTAAATTCATTTTTTCTTGAAATTCATGTTTCCTCACGTTCTTAGGTCATATTCAGATTGAATTAGATCAAATACAGACCATATTAAACTACGATATAATTATTCGATCCAGAATTAAATCTAACTTGTTCATTATTCTACAACGATGAAATCAAAATATAACCATTGACTATCGTTACTATTCATAGTTTATCACGAAAATTGAAATAAACTTTCATAAAACCTTTCCTGTATACACATTGCAAAGACTATTTTACCTTTCTGCTATATTTCAGTAGAAAACAAGTGCATCATGAAAAGCAAGGCGACATTGATTGAGACGCATATAATCGCTTTCATAAAATATGTCAATGAGTTATATTATGTTGTGCATTATGTAAATTGCATTCATATATGTAACAGTTAGACATCGACCAATATTGATAGTGTTAATAGAATATGGCCGAAGATATAAAAAAATTGAGCTAGTATTCTTGATGATGCTTCATATTATATGAAATATTTTCGTATGTAATGAATAAAATTAAATATTCATATTGAAGAAAAAAGCAAAGACCAAAAACAGAATTATGTGGTAAATACATATGTAATGAGTAGAACGAATGAAAAAAAGAAAGCCAAACTATAATCCGATGCTGATACCTACTTTACAATGGCACAGATAATATTGTGTTGTTATACAACTTGAGAATAACGAATAACTGGTGCATTAAAACTTTACTATACTATTATACAATTTAAACAATAAATAATCTTACTTAGAAAAATTCAGTTTTTTCATTTTGTTAATTAAATAAACAAAATTTGTTTTCAATTTTCGATGATAGAAAAACGAATATTTCTAAAAAACAAAAAAAAAGAATTTCATTCAAATATGTTGAATTTTCATACCTATACTTTTCTATCTTACTAAAGAGTATAAGTAACAAGATATCAGTCATAAGAAAAAATAATTCATTTTATGTTTCGAAAACATATTTTATTTTTAAATATATACAAAAATACAAAATTTAGTAATAACTAATTTGTTTATGACGAATTCGACGAAAAACTTTTTTCATAGAATTTTTTTCATTATCATCATTCATTGAACAAGCTCCAAGCCATATTTGCATACAACGTAAACCTTTTCGACATAGAGAATTTTTTCTTTTTAATTTAATCCATTTAATAATATCTTCATAGTAATATAACATATTGACTGAGTAAAATATTACACTTGATAATTGTTTAAGTTTTTCAAGAATATTTTTCATTTCATCAAGATTTGTAATTGATATTTGTAAATGTTTAATAGAACGAGGAATTATTGAAGATAAAGTTTCAATGTTAATAAGAGACTCTCCAGTATGATTATAAATTAGTTTCAGTGAATGAATATTTGATGTTTTCTTCAGTATTGATGATATATAATCAGTTACAGATGAACGTTGAGCAACATTATAAATAAGAATTTGCATTGAAAGACAAACCAGAGATGATAAATCGATAATAGTTTGAAGGGATTGCAAAGAAACATATGGAAGCTTTCCATCAAGATTTAAAGAAAGATGAGTAATTTTTCGAAATATTGGATCTTTTAATTGATTGTTCTAGAAAATAATATAAGAAAGTAAAGATTAACAAATAATAAATTCATACCTGTATTTCATCATTGATTTCAATAGTTTGATTTAAATTAAATTTTAATTCACGAACATGATCAGTGAATTTAATATGATTACTTGTTGTATTTAATGTTGAACATGAAATTTTCTTTGAATTTGTATAATATGTTAATAATGAATTACAAATAGGTAATGAATATAATCTGATAATAAATAACGTTTTCATATAATCACAAGCAACATACCAATGTTTTTTTTCAAGCCAAAATGATGTTTGAAATGAATTAATAAATAAATGAATATTTATTAATGAATTACGATTAATATAATTTAAAATATTAAAAAAAAATTCAAATTTATTTAATAATGGTAATTTTTTTACAATAAAATTTTCCCATTGATTACCATTTAATATTGGATCACATAAATCAGTCCATAAAATTAATTTCATATGATTAAGTGTTGGTGTGCAAGAAAGTAATATTGACAGTTCTTTCATACGTATATAACAAGTACCAAATGATAATGATTTTAATTTTGATGGATAGATTACGTCCGATGGTTTATACATAGTTCCATCAGAATCATACATATGACATTCTTTTAATATCAATTTATGTAAATTAGTTGCATGACGAAGTATTATATAATATTCTTGAAATGTACAACTTTCAAGACGAAGATATTTTAATGTAGTTGGTAACGGTGACCGTGAAATCACGTATAAATCTTTATAAGATACGTTTAAATCGAGTTTTTCAAGTTTTAATTTTGCTATTGTTGATGATAGTAGTACACGTGTTGTATAACTAAATTTATCTGATGATTTACTATCAATTGATAATGATTTAAGTGAACAATTCGAAATATGTTTTAATATTGAAAATAAATTATTTTCGTCAATTTTAAGTAAATCTAATGATTGAAGTCGAGAAAATTGTTCAAATGAAAATCTTGATAAAAATGTACGAATTTGATATGGTGTATCTATATCATTAGTAAGTATAATTGAAAGAACTTTTTTCGGAGATATAACGTGACAAATATGATCAAAATCAGTTTTTGATATTAATCTCAAATCGAGTTTATATTGATCATAAGAATCAACAATTGTTTGAAATCGTTTGCATACATAACGAAATGAAAATAATATTGTTGATAAATCAAGATATTCCAATAAATAATAAATAAGTTCTATTGGTAATGCATAAAGTGATGAAGTCGACATTTTTTTTTCTTATGTAATATAGTTATAATCACGATTTTATTATTTAACGATATCATGAGAGTCAATCAGGTATGACCAAAACCTCGATTAGCATTTTAACAAACAATCACTCTTTATCCTTTTCTTTTTTTTTGTACATATATGCTATTTACCATATATACCAATTCGAGTCGGGTCAAACAATATAATAGTGAACACATGAATAAATATCGGCAATTTATCAGGTAGAATTGTCACGTTATTATTATTAATCAGTAATAACAAAAAGCATTATTAATCGTTGCTATTAATAAATAAGACATTAGAAAACTAAGTAAGTATTGATAAAATAAACTCATTGACATACTTTTCATCTTTTAATCCTCACTAGCAAATGGAATTGCCACTTTTTGAAACATTGCAGAAAATGCTTAACGCGTGATATCAAAAAACTACATATTGTATGTAGAGAATTGTCTGAACTACCGATTGGTAAAAAGGTTTTTTTTAATCCTTACTCTATCTCCAAGCTATACGACATGCAAAAGACATGATTATGAAATTACTAAAAAATGTATCTCTTCTTTTTGAATTGTGTTCTCAGCTACGAGAAATACTTATCTTGATGAAGTGCTGCGCGATAAATATCGACGAAATTCGCTACTATTGAATAAAACGCGTTTAAAAATTTTCCTACAAATTAATTGAACAAGAGCTTGTACGACATAAAATGGCAATCGCAGTTGCCAAATTACCCTACACACAGAGAAGCGCATGTTGTTAATCAGATTATATTATTGGCCTACTGAAGAGAACAATAGCGTATTTTAATAGTTGTTTTATTACTCATTCTTCTAGAACCTTTATGGAGGTAAGGTATTAATATTCAATCGGATTTTCACTTATTTATTTCATATTCTAGTAAAAAAAAAACAGAAAAGCCCAAACAAAACTTGGCGTAAAAAATAGAAACTAATCAATTCTATCCTTCATGTTTTTCTTTGAGTCTTTTCGTAAATAAGTCATACAAAAGAAATGTGGAAAAAGAATGAAAAAAGAAATATAGAGTACTAATGATAATACAATATTAGTATTCGTCGTATCACATGAATATCCTTCTTGTTTATATTTAAATGCAATGACATTTACTACACAGCCAGTAATCATTTGAATAAATTGAAGTAAAGTTATAAATACTTGAACAAATAGAGGAAGCCGAGTACGAGCAGCTCGGAATGCAAAATAACCATACATGATTGTATGAACACAATAATTCATTGTTACAAGCCAACGACTAGTTGAAACAAAAAATGCATAACTTAATTTATATTAATTATAATTATTGAAAAGAAAAAAACAAAGATAAAAAATGAATTACCTATAAAAGCAATATATAAGCACTGATGCATGATGATACCAATGAAGAAAAATCAATTGGTGTCGTCATAATATAATAAATAATGTATCTAATGTTTCTGGTACTTTCGAAGCCATAAATAAACAAACCCTAACATTTGCGAATTATATTTCTTTTTTATTATATAAAAATTAGAATTTACAAAACTCACCATAATCTAGTAATATCTTGTTTAAACGTTGAATCATATATTCAATACATAAATCCATGTTGAGTTAAAGCATATATAAATTCAGATACACATCGACATGCACCCCAAAAATTAAATATTGTAAGACTAATATTCCAAAGTATTAATGCTTGTCGTAATTCAAATTTTTCATTTTTTTCTAATCATCCATGTTTGACCAATAAATATAGCAATGATATATAATAATGCATAAGGTAAACTTAACCAACACCAATTATAGAGCATACGTTGAATTGAAGAATATTTTTGTCCATTGAAAAAAATAAGTTCAGAATCAAGAACTAATCGATGAACAACACCACTTGTATCTCTTACTAATTGATATATCTTTATTCTTCTTTGTTGTCTTTTAGTGTAACTTTACAAATAGAAACATTCTTATTTTGTGGAACTCACGTATGTTTTCGAAGAAAACAGTGAGTGTAAGTTTTCAGTTCGAGGCTGGCGGCTTCCTCCTTCCCCCATCCCATTACAGAGACATAGCAACGGGAAAGAGAACATTACAGACATACCTCCCATTACAGACACCTCGCTCCATTACAGACCTTGGCAACTTCGTGAAAACAAAATTCTGTTCGAAATTGAGAGATAAAAATAGAGCATTTTCTGATAATCGATTATCTTTAGAAAAGAACTATTATCTTTTGGAGATTTTAAATGTTGAGTATTTTGTCATTAGTATAATGAAACCAAAGGAGATATGTGAGTTCCACATCTCAGCCCCAAATGGGCTGCGCTAACAAGCGTTTTTATTTTCTTTCGGAGTTCTTCAATCTTTTCATTAAAATGATTCATATAAAGCATCAACTGATTCTCTTCCGAGCCTTCTTTGTTTTAAATCAATTTTAAAGTGTACCTGAATCATAATCGAATGATATTTATTAATATATCTTCGTTTTCCACTTATTTTGTAAAAAAAAAGTGATGCGCATGCACCTTGCTATCTTTAGTGTCATTCGTTATATCATGGTCTAAAAAATATACATCAGCATTTCACACGTTAAATTCGACAACATTATTACTTAGTTTCTTTTTTTTATATATTTCATTAAATTAAAATACACAACAATGTTCTTTTTATTTATGTTGGAACATTTTTAAACTGTATTATATAAACTTCACATTCAAGATAATGGATTAATACAGACGTATATCTTATTTCTTTTTTTGCTCAACATGAATGACATAATCATTGTGTCGAGTATAAATGACATTTCGTCAAATCCTGAATATAAATCATATATGAAAAAGAAAAGATGAAAAGCACATTATAAATACTCTCTTTATTTTTTTATCTATATTCATAACAATTAATTTTGTTGCTGATTCATTAATACCAAAATCGGTGTCATATTATATAAGGAGCAAATGAGATTTACATAAAAAAAAGCAAGAAATTTTATATAATGCTCAATAATAACCAAATATGTGTCTCGTGGTAGTTCCTCTTTTTCTCTGGAAAGTTAATGAACAAGTCGTCAATGAGTCTATTCGATTGGCATGATGAATAAATAACACTAGTAATTGTCATCAAATCTATGCAAAGACACTGTAACAAACAGATTTACATCAAAAAAGGTAACACAAAGATCTGTTTCTTAGTAAAGGCAAAATAATTATATTTTTATATCTGATGAGCATCATCAACAATTGTGCATATAAAATTACATGAAAAATAAACTTTATTGATTGAAACCTACAAAGTTAAATATGAGAATCCATCGATGAATAACTATTATACTAAACAATTTATCGCAGTACTATAAAAAACTAACACTTTTTCACGTACATGATTCTCTTGGTCTTGTTTTTCGCCAAGATTTCTTCTGTCAATTATGTGACACGATTGAATTGATGTATCGTATATACTTTTGACATTAATATGGTGATGTACAACTGTTTGTATTTTATTAGTTTATATGAAAATGTCGCTCCGATGCCGAACAAGAAAGTTCTTACTCAGCACATGTTTTCGTCCTTGCGACTGGTCTGTGATCCGAAGATCGTATTTACCTTCGTTCAGGATTAGAATAAGCGAATTTTCCTGCAAATTATCGAGGCACGAGGTTGCTTTTGTCTGAACACATAGTATTTTGCGCCAAAAGCTAATCAATATGAAATGTGTATAGACAGAACAAATATAGAGCACAGAAGAACAAACTGAGTATTGCGTTTTCAGCTAATTACTTGATGAAGATTGATTTTTGTAAAAACAAATCGCGCAAACAAAATGGTGCGTTCTCAAAATCATCCTCAGAAATTTTAACTTTTGTCTTCGTTTTGAGTGAAGAATTAAAATCTGAACAATTTTTTTAAATTAGGATGAATTGATAGATACAGTTCTTATTTCAAAATTCAAAGCAAGATTATTAAAATAAAGAAGTATTCAAAAAGAACAGTCTCAACTTTGCACATTATTAATTTGTAATGAACAAGATTCGTACGACTTAATCCAATAGATAAGACAATATTTATGAGTTAATTTTTATACGGATAATTTTTTTTGGCAAAATTCTTATTTTCTAACCCGTCGTTGCTTTTGGTGATCGTGATAAATCGATAGGTAATTGTTGTGGATCATTGAATACTTGCCATTTTTCTCGTGGTACTCCTTCGAAAGCATCAAAAAAACGTTGATCTTCAAAAGCTTCACCTTTAATTGCTCGAATAAAAATAGCTCGAACACGTTCCGGATATTCTTTTGCAACTGTTCCATAAATTTCTGGATCTTTTTCTCCACTGTCACCAACTAATACGTAATCACGCATTGTATTTGAAAGAAAATATCGTAAATAGGCTATTTTATGAATAAATGTCGATTGTGAATGAAGAAAACCAAAAATAGATGTTGCTGCCCAACCAAAATGTCTCATATGAAATGTTCCATCAGGAAATTTATTCTCATAAATAAATTCATGGGTTAATATATATAATTGATCGGGCATACCGGATAAATAATGAAACGTACAATTATTATTGTTTATACGCCATTTTTGATATAATTCAGCCATGCCTAAGAGAACGAGAAAAAGAAAAATGATCTTATTATATTGGCTTTTATTGATTATGTTTACCTGGTACAGGTTTGAATGGATATATGAAAGTATTTGCAAGTAATCGTACTTTATCCAATACTTCGGATATTTTAATTGTATCATCAACATCACTAATAACAGAAATACCTTTACGTGGTTCAATAAGTTGAATAATTCCTGTTGTTTTATCTTTATTATCACCAATAGCTTCATATGTTATAAAACTACTACCTCCTTGTTGTTGCTTTAATTTTTGTATTTCATCATTTGATATTTCAATTTCTTCATTAAATTGTCCTTGACTGTCTGTTAGAAATGAAAAGATTTTTTCATCAAATTTTATATGTATTTTTTCATTTGATTCATCTTCAACAAAAAATGGTTTAAGTCGATCACGATTAATGGATCCATTGAGATATAATATATCTTTTTCATCCAGTAATTGTTTAGCAATTCGTTCTACCCATAGACTTGCACTAAATCCAAACCAATCTCTTCTTCTATTACGTTCATATCGCCAACCATGCATCATTATTTTCCATATGCTATCATTATTCAATGATTGATATCCTATATCAGGAAAAAGAAGCATTTCTTCTTTATCAAAATGACGAAAATCAATATGAAATTTTTTAGTTGCTGTATCTTTAAATTTGTCTGTTATTATATTCCATAGTTCACGAAGTCGATATCTTTGAGAAAGTGTTCGATTATCAACATTGATAACAAATAGTAATAGTAAGATGCATACAGTTGAATATGACACCATTGCTGATCAAGAAAATATAAAAGTATCGTATACGATATATACTGAAAGCGATCGAACAAAACGAATGGAAGAGAAATTCTAAAGCATTTTTTTTTATAACTATAGTATAATGGAGTGAGAACGAACGAATAAACCAGCAAAGTTTGAAGTAGTATAAGCCAATGATGAAAGAGGAGGTATGAATAAGTGTTTTCATCAGAGAAAAACCACTGATCCGATTGAAAGAATGAATGAGTTTATATATACATATGTATGATGTGATGAATCATTTTTATGACTATTCATAAAATGGCACACGATGTGTTCAAGAATGCATAGAATATTTCATTTCTTTTTGAATAATAATGTAAGAATTAACATAGGTTTTCTTTCTGTCACTAATACAGAGTACAATTAATTGATACAATATTTTCGTTATTGTTGTTCTGCAATATGTTTTTAGAAAATTCAAAATAGAAAAAATATTTTTCAGACGTTTTATATAAATGTTGATACGGCTCCAATCATTTATGAATCATAGCAGCGCAGGGGTCAGATGTTGCTTACTTTATTGTTTGTTTTTGTTATGAAATTTTATATATTCACTAAACATGTCAATAAACAGAACCCATGGTAATCTGATTAATAAACTATTTCTCCAAGTCGAAAGAAAATGTTTCAAGTATTTAAAACACTCTAAGTATAAGATGCATTACTCAAAAAGCATAGAAGACTTAAGCCATACACACACTTGATTAATCACATTTAGTATACAATGCCTGAAGGGGACTTCAACCTTTTCATCATTTGTGGAGAACGATTGATCAAAAAATTGTGAAAGTGTCAAGGTAGATTGATCTCAATACAAGAGTCTAAGTCATCATAGATTCAAAATTCCGAAATGCTTCCTCCTAGAAGTTGTCACGGTAACAAAGGCTAAAAATTAACCCGATGTCTTAATTAATATACATATACGTCTGATAAGGTTGAAATTTTCAGTACAGTACTAGACACCGTTTGAAGTGCCTGCTTTTTCTCTTCTGTTCGAATAACAAAATGGAAATACATTGGCAAAAAAAAGTTATGGGTATTACATTTAATTCCAAATGCTTTTCAAGTTCTGTATAAAACCATTCTTTCGTCAGTGTACAGAGCGTCTCTTCGAACACATGCAGATTTTCTATTTGATAGGGCCTTTTTTGTGAATTCTGATAAAAACTAACTGTATGGTGTGTGTTAAAACACAAAAACAAAAGTGCACACCCTAAACACTCTCTACTGTCCATTTCAAAATATAATATGCTTCATTTTTTTTTGAATAAATTTTGATAAAATCCTTATAGAGAGCTACAGTTTTCACCATTTAAGGGTGAAGATCTGAGACTAAAGAAGTATCTCGGAATTTTTTTTGTAAATAATTGACCAATCAGGTGAGATTTTCGAAAACGATATTCTGGAGTTCAAAATGTCGTTTTCGAAAGTCTCCATCAAGAACTTACCTGATTGTTCAATTGTTGATCAATCACTTTTCGATGTGCTTCACTGATCCCTTTATCTTCTCTTTTAAATAGTGAAAACTGCAGATCTCTTAGATGTTTCTATCAAAAGTTATTCAAAAAACAGTGAAGTACATTATATTTTGAAATAAATAATAGTACAAGTAGAAGAAATTTTCAGCTCGGTCGATTGTACTCTCGGGTTGAGAAACAAGAATGGTTCTCAATTACTTTTATTGAAAAAAACTCATTTTCAGAAACAGCAACATTATGTGTAAGGTGTTTCGGCCGAAATGTTCCATATTTTTCAGCTTTTCGACTTTTATATTTACGTATTAATTCTTAAAATATATCTACTAGATAGATGATACTTCGAAGCTTATATAGATCGGAAAAAGCAACAATAAAAAAATTAAACATTTGCGGTCAGGAAAGAGGACTGACCCTCTTAAATTTTCATTGTCAATGTTTCGCATGAACTTGAATACCTTCCAATGTTGATTATTTAATTTAGTGTGAGATAAAACTTATCGCTCATTTTTTCATCAATTTTATTTCAACGTAATCAAAAAGAATAAATAAAAGTCAATTGCATGAATTTTTTTAATCAAACAGAAAAAAAGAAAAGCAAAATGTAGTTCATTTTACTGTCGCATAAATAAGAAAAAATTGCATCATTGTTATTTTAACGAATATGCATCATTATAAATTCTTCTTTAGTTTGATATCCATCCCAGATACCTTGCGAATCAGTTTTTTTTGGTAATGTCTGATATTTAATTGACCATCCATAAAAAGGAGATAATGAACGTGGTGATACTGGTGTTGATGATAATGAATCATTTACATCGGAATTCGTTGATGAAATATTACCTGAATTAATAGATCTAAATAAAGACATATAAACATTAAAAGTTATTCTATATTAAAAACAAAGTCTATTTTACTTGAAAGTCGAAGTAGTTTCAGCCATGATAATGATTTGATTATCGATTGAAAGGAAGATTAAAAATAAAATCGATGAAAATTACCGTTAAAAAGTTGAAAATAACAGAAAAAGAGACGAAATGAATACGAAGGTTAAGAAAAGAATGTAAGTCAATCTTTGAGTACGGCTTTGCCAAGTGATGAGGCTGGTTGCTATAATAGAAAATAAGAATACTTGGAAAACAATAGAATAAAACTATATAATCACTCACATTTTTCCAAGTTTTACGAACGGGTTTAGCTAAATGTTTCGAAGTCAACATTCAGACATAAAACACTAAATGAATAGATAATTAATAGAATGTTTTTCTTTTAAATAAATCTTACCAACAAAAAAGAAGTACGTATATAGGTATGTGTTGTTTATAATAAAGATGTGCTTTGATATATGATAAATGAAATAAAAATACTAACCGCTTGTCCTTATATATATATACACAATTAAGGACGAATCAACCTACAATGAAATAAAAACGTTAAAGACGATAGATAAGAACACAGGTTATGTCAATATGGATGCATTTCTCATAATCTAATGTGTAGTCATGCAGTCCACTCGTGATATGAAAATATCAAAGTGCATGATCACCTAGATGTTGAATTGTGCGTTAGTTTCTTTTTTCCAGAATAATTCAATTGTTATACTGATTAACCTTTCGATACTGATAAATCAGATTTCTGTTTTAATTTAGTGACTTGATACATCCGTGCGTTAATTATTATCATACACGTTTCAATATCGTTATTTTGACTGTGATATTTACGATAGCTCATGATTTGTAGGAAATAATTACATATGTCGAACTCAATTTAACTGTTCATTGAAGTATATTCATATTACTGTCTTTACTATTTAGTATAACTGTTTTTGAAGAATTTGAACCTTAACCCTATTTTTGTATATTGCGAATATGCATGTCTCTCTAGGCTGATATCAGTCACCTGATCGTTTATTTTTTGATGATATCTTCCAAAATTTTGCGGATGAAATATATCATGTGACTAAAATTTTTATCGTATTGATGAAAAGGTTTGACTGTAGAGAAATACAGAGAACTATGTCATTCAAACAATGACCCTGAAAGCAAATATATTTGACCTAAATATAATTTCTAGAAGATTCAATATAAATATCATAAAGTTTTTCTCTCATATGCGTATGAATGATTTGGACAGATCGATTTCAGTTATTTATCGAGAATCTCTATCATTGCTTAATATAAACAGAATAAGAGAACATTTCAAACTACTGGTTCTTTTAATGTCTAATGCTTTCTCGTATTAGTAAATTCAATCACTTCGTAATTAAAATAGCTCTTTTCATTTATTCAAATGAAAAAAAAAAACGAAACAAACCAACAAAACTGAATGAAAAAAATAACGCAATAAAAGCGAACAAGACAAAAGAAAAAGTGCAGTTTTTCATTATTTTATAGAGAAGAAAGAGAATGTCTTATCACTATTTAACGAAGATGCATCGCCATGAATTCTTCTTGCGTTTGATAACCATTCCAGATACCTTTTAATTTAGGTTCACGAATTATTTTATATTGGATTCCCCAACTAAAAATTGATGGCGATGATGAAGATGACGTGGCCATAAATGATGATTCATCCATAGAAAGACTTTCGGAGGTAACAGTACTTGTACGGACGTGTCTATTCAAATATAAATACCTCATATATAACTCATAGATAAAATAAATCTGTCTTACTGTGAAAATGAACCGATTTCTGTCATAATTCCGTATTAAAATAGGTAATTAATGAAGAATTGGAAATAGAACACAGAAAGCTGGTTTAAAAGCAAGCAAAGAAAAGTTTACGATAGAATGTAGAAATCAATCTTTAAGAACAGCTTTGCCAAGTGATGATGCTGGTTGCTATAATAAAATAAAATTTTCCTTTCATTTTTAAAATTAGAGAAAAGAAACAGCTAAACTTACATTTTTCCAAGTTTTACGAACGGGTTTTGCGATATGTTTCGATACTAACATTCAGAAAGACATAAAAGTAATTGAATGAAAGAAGCTAAACAATGTTCTTTATATATATATCATCGACACAATGTTTCTCGCATCTGATAAGAAAACTGCTGACGAAATCTTTGTTTTCTTTAATAAAACAGTATGAGTTGGCAATAAAATGATAAGAAATAAATTGCAACGTTGTGGGATATATATGCAGATGTGTGTGATGCGAAACAACGCAAATGATAACATGGTTTGAGAGAAGTCCAGTATGCCATTGCATTTGTGGGAGCTAGTATTTAGATATTCATCCGATAATATGATTAGGTTTGATGACGAGATCAATTCATTCAATATATTTATCTATCAAAAGTGTATTGATCTATTTTACTTTCGTGGTATTTAATAAATTACTAAAAAAAGGTCATCAAAACTATTGCTAATAAATCATATATAGCTAATGATTGTCTACAATAAAATTTTTTAGACAACATCAGTTTCATCAAAACAATAGATTATTATTTCAGTAGTTTTTTGTTGATCTCCTAATTAGATGTAGTGAAACAATGGTCTGGTAGTTGTTAGTTATGGTTATTTATCTATGCTTACACAATAGGACACCCACTTTTCTGTTGATACTTTATCATTATAATTTATTATCGCGTCAAATAATCTAGCGTATAAATACGACATTTGGTAGTAACAGCAAAAAATTTGAACACTCAATAATGATATAGTGGATAGTTTGTCAGGTGCGATTAGTAGGTTAGGACTCCCGAACGGGGTTCAAAAATGACACGAGTTTTCTAGTCCTTCATAATTAAGCAAAAATATAGCAATTTGAGTACAGATCAAAATAAAAACGATTTTTCTATAGAAAATTAGAAAAAAATGACAATAGAAGTTCTCGTTAGATTGCTATATCTCAGCTAAAAAACATCGTAGAAATCTCGAAAGCGTCTCATTTTGAAGAGAATTATTTATTCTAGTGTTATAGATGCTGAAAAACTAGCATTTTTGGACTGATAATAGTCATTGTGCTTTATATTCCTTTCAGAAACAATTTTCCGACTATTTGGATTCTTTCTAGCACTTACAACAGCGGAAAAAATTGAAAATAAACCTTAATGAATAGTTTTGGTATTCGCTGTATATATATATTCAATCAGAAACTAGAAGAAATAACACGAATTCAATTAGCTGAAGTACCATTTTCGGTATGACTTAAATGCAATGAATTATACAGGAGAATGATAAGAACTTAAATTTGTGCTTGGACTTATAGAATTTCGTATTCTTAATTTCATAATTTGAAAGATGTTAATATAAAAAGTCTCCTTAATTCTTTTTGGCATTCCTAGATTGTGTACGTTAAGAATACAAAAGAAATAATTAAAATATAACACCTAGATAGTTTTTGAAAGAAAATCAATTTTAAGACTTAATATTTCTTCTTCTAAATATCAATCAAGTTTTTATTCACTGTAAAATTTTGTTTTTACAAAATAAAAAAAAAATATATATAATAAAACAAAAAAGACATCAATTAGCAATAGAATCATCATTTGATTGAAAAGGCATTCGAAATTGTTGTTGATCGGCAATAAACTTAAAATAGAAAAAAAAAGTTTTTATATATTGTTATTTTTTTTTATAGTATACAACAATAATATTAATAAAAGAGAAATAATACTTTACTTGAAGTGTATTATCTTTAGTAACGTAAATATGTTCAGGTCGTATACTTCGTATCGTTGATTCATAATATGTACGTTGTAATTGAATAAATGATCGTAATACAGAACTTTGTTCTCGAATTAAATCATCAACAGCTAATAGAACAGGATTAGTTATTAGAAGAGATTGAAGAACATTTGGTTCAACAACAGATCGAATAAGTGATGATGGACGAGTTTCATTTAAATCATTTTGATTAATTAAATAAATTGAATGAACTATTAAAAAAAGAAAGATTACTCGATGATTAAATATAAAAGATAGAAAATAAAAAGATAAAACCTTGATTTAATGATGATTGAAATGGAGCTGACATTAAATCAACTTGTACTTGTTGATCATCGGTTGAAACTTTTCGTATAGTTCTATTTAAAATACAATACTTTTAAGATTTTAAATTAAATAGAAAAATTTTCTTTTCTTACGGTGTTTGTTTTTCTATATGCATATTTGTTGGTTTTGATGGTCTTGGTGTTGAAGTTTCTGTTGTTACTAATGAAAAATCTTCCGAATAATTAATTACGCTTTGTTCATCAGGGATTTCTTCAACTTTTGTATTTTCATCATCACTAATATCTGATATTGTTCGCTGTTTATGATGAGTTTTATGTGCTGACGATGAAGCCTTTTTTGTTGTTACTCGTGGAGATTTATTTTTAATAACAGTTGTTATTAATGGTTCATTATTCATAACTAAATTTGCAAACATATTATCAACTGGTGATTCACTAATATGTTCACTAAATGGAATGCTATTATAATCATCATCATCATCAACAACATCAATAGCTGTTGATATTGATTCAGTTTCAGAAGGTATTATATCATCATCAACATTAGAAGGTTTTTTAGTAATTTGTACACGTCGTAGAGTTGTTGAACGTGAAGTTTTTATTGGAGTTGGTATACGTTCTTCTTCATCAGCTAGATTAAAATTTTAAAAAAAAAGGATAATATTTTGATAGGTTCACTTGTTTTTATTCGATTATGAATATACTTTGAACTGTAACTAATTTTTCAGAAAATTGTACAGAATGTTCACTTTCTTTTGGAATAAAATCCTAAATAAATAAAGAATGAATGGAATGATATCAAATGAAAAGAAGAGAAGTTGTTGTTTTTTATTTAATGTTCATTTACTTTCGGTGATTTTAAAATGCCTTTTCTCGGTGTTAAAGTTGGCGTTTTTCGACCTTCACTTGAAGAACCATCACCAATAAAATCCAATGATGAATCATCTTCTGTATCGAGTACTAAACAAGAAAGACCAAGTACAATGGGAAACCAGAGATTCATCAAATTGCAGAACATTTTACTAATATATTGTTCATTTTATACAAAATTTTTATCATAAACAAGTGCTATTTGATAATTATTATCGAAATATATAAATTAAAATATTTTTATACCTGAAGACGGTCGTCTATTCTTGTTATGTTTATTTCTTTTGCCTTCTCGATCACTACTATATGTTTCACTATCAAGATGTTGTAAATCTGGTACTTGATTAGCAGGTGTAGTTGTTGCAGTTTTTTTTAGAAAACTTTTTTTTCCAGAACCAAATAAATTTCTTGAACCACTTGTTGTTGCATCTGAACTTGATTCATCTTCATCATTGACTTGATCAAAGGCGCCTGGTTCTAATTCAATACCTTTAGCATATAATTGTTGTCGATGTGCAGCACGAGCTAAAAGTGATGATTGAGCAAGAAGACCAGTTGATGATGATTGTTGAGGTTTTTTATCAGAAGTTTTCTTTGTTGATACTCGAGGTGATGAAACATCTCGTGGTGAATGTGTTACACTAATTTTTTCCGTTGTAGCAGTAGGTATTGTTGTTGCTTTTTTTACGAATTTATTTGGTTGACGTGGTGTACTCGATGATGTTGTTGTTGTTGAATGAGATTTTTTATCATGATAACCAAATTGCAATGAGCTATCATCATCAAATGGACTTTTTGTTGATGAACGATGATGACGTTGTTTAGGTTTAGGGGCTTGTTGACTTGATTCTATTTCAGACACTTCACTGATTCCATCAGGATTTTGAGCGTAAGTATTACGTTTCTTAAGAAAATACAATAGAGTATTCAAATTAGTTCTAGAGAAAAAAAATTGTTTGAATTTACTCGATCAAAATTTTGTTGATCTTCTTGAAGACGCTGCTTCCGTTGATTCATTCTAGCAGCTAAATCACTCATTGAACTTGGCATTTCTAGTTTTACGTTGAAGATTTACAAATAAAAAAAATAATATGACTTAATATATTTTTATCGAATAACCATATCAGATTCTGTTGCTCTAGGTTTCTACCCTCAATAATTCATTTAAAGTGGCGTCGTTAAAGGATTGGTTATTTATTTATCAAGTAGAACTTTTGCAGAATGAAGACAATAAGATGATGATAGTTTTCATTTAAAACGATTTTCGAATTGAAAAATTGAAAAATTCCAATTAATTAATTTTTTTGAAAGTTCCTTAGAATAGTTTCTTCAATTAGTTCGAGAAATTAGCTTTTCTATCCTTTGGCTGTTATCAACATGGGACTTTTTTTCCTTTTTTTTTCTCTTCGTTCATTTCTTTTCTTCGTATCTCTTATACAGCATTATTCCCTAAGGAGAAAGAAAAGAATGAATATGACTGAGAAAGAAGAAAACATCGAGAGACAGGTGTCATCTCCTTTCTTCTTCTTCTTCTTTTTTGTTGCTATCATATAAAAGAAAAGTCTCCGATGCATTTTTGTTTCTTTGCATAATTAAAAATAAAAAAAAAAAGGAACATTGTACTAGTAATAATAAAAAGAAGCAAAAAAGAAAAAGATTCATTCATTCTAATTTATTTTGTTTTGTTTTTATTTTATCAATCTATATGGATAAAGAGACGTCTGTAATCTTTTCTATTTTTTTCCCTTCGTTTTTTTCTCTTCTTTTCTTTCATTTAAAAGAATTCTGTCGAAGAAAATCTCCAGAGAATTTCACAAGAGAAAGAAGAGTGCTTTGCCAGTAGTTGTTTCTCTTTTTCTCTCTATGGCTGTCTGTTTGACGTCGTCGGTTGGTCACCGGGGAGCTCACGTCGTATTGCCTGCCGCGGCTGCATCCCAGGGGAGCTAGTCGACTCTTTTTACGTGTATGTGTGTATGTGTGTGTGAAACAGCATGTGGGTAGAGAGAGAAAGAATGTATAGATCGACGACAACTGCTGTGTTCTGCACCCCTCCGGGAATGATGGACGAGTGCGTGCGCATATACATATAGAAAGGCAAAACGAGAGAGGAAAGAAGGAGAAAGATGCACCGAGAGCATGATTAGAACAAGGAGATGCACTCGTCTTACTTATCAAGTTGATTGCAGTATCCTATTCTAGAATAAAGACAAAAAGAAACTATGTCACGTCGTAAACAGACGAATCCAAGAGCTATAAAACGTGATGGTAAATTTTTTTTTTGGTTTTTTTAATCAATATATTTAATTTCATCATTATATTCAGTATCGAAAGATGAAGATGAAAATGCAATTCCAATTGCTAAAAGTAAAATAAAACAAAAAATTATTTTCAATTTGTATTTTTTGTATAAAATTTATTTTATTTATAGAACAAGCAACAGAATCAATTCGTTCAGATAGTATTGATTCAACAATAACAACTGAAGATGAACAAAAACCATCATCAATTAAATGTGATAGCTGTCAAGAAATATTTCAAACTAGTGAACTATTTAATCAACATCGTCTTTATCAATGTACTTTTCTCACCGGTAATATTTGTTTAATCAACCATTAAATTAATCTTTTATTATGTGTTAACAATTGTTTCTTTTTCATGCATCATCTAGAAGAAACTAATAGTGATGAAAGTCGAACTTCATCATATGATGAATATGCTAATCAAATAGATAAAGTAACTCTCTTTCCTTGATTTATTTTATTTTGTATGTAAAAACTTTCTGTTTTATTAGATACCTTATGGAACAAATCAAAATGACGATTATCCACATCAATGTTCATATTGTAATAAATCATTTGCAAATATGGCTCTTTTACTTAAACATGAACAAGTAAATAAAAACATTGATAAAATGACTTTGTTTTTCTTATATAAGAATTTCTTATTCTTAGATCCATGTTGAATTAATGCCATTTCGATGTTCTTTTTGTGGTAAGTAATCTGAGTAATAACAAATTTTATATGTAGATAGAGATTAATACCGAAGAATGTATAAACTTCGAATAGATAGGCTAAGATTTGAAATGAATAAGACGACTATTTAAAAAAAAAAACAAATTTTTGAAATCAATTTAATATGTAATCGATAACGATACGTTTAAAAGTTTTGTTTGTTGTTTTTTTTTTCACTCTAATATAATATTCTATGAGATAAGAACATATTGATTTCTATGATTTTATCTATTGTAAACCTCTTTGTGCGATAGATGCCCAGAGTCTTCGGTTATATTCAAGCTTACAAATTTTCCCGAGTCTTTATTGTGTCTCATTTTTTCATAGTTGTTAATTAAAAAGATTTTTTTCAAAAACCTAAAGAAATCTTAAGGATTTTGGAAGAGATTTTGTAGGTTTTAATGATGTTGAGCGTAGTTTTAAAGTTTGTTCAGCTCAATATGCTTAAAAACTAATCTGATTTCTATGCAAATATACTAATTAAAATTCAGATTTTCATGAATCATGTACATTCAAATAGAATGAAATTTTCAGATTATGTTAGGGACGGTAATGAAGAGACTATGGCAAAGTTGTCAACTTTATATGATGAAGCTTTCGGAAAATATTCAATAAACAAGATTTTAAAAAGTTCATTTGCCAACCCAAACTTTCCTATGTGTTTTCATTCTATATACTTATTTGAAAGAGCATGTCGAAATGCCAGACCTGACACAACTCTTGTTTTTATGCTCTTACTTTCCTAGGAAAAAACATCCTGTGTTTCAAAAACTCCTCATAAACTTTTGCTCTAATTATAAAAAATACTCTGTTGTATAATAATAATAAAGTTTAATTCCAAAAAATGAACTCTGTCATACGCTACATCTTGACATGTTCTTTCAAATAACAACAAAAAAAAATAGAATTAAATATCTAAAGCAAACCTCCACAGAGATTTCTGGGTTGCGCAATCAAAAATAGTATACATTTTATTAATAACAAAAAAAACTTCTGAATCTATTGTTAGGTAAAGGATTTAAACATCGCCGTAGTTTAAATCGTCATTCAAAATTACATACAGGTGAACGTAAATTTAAATGTACATTATGTGAAAGTACATTTGCACGTTCGGATCATCTTAAAGCACATATTCGTACTCATAATAATCATAATCATAATCATAATAATTTATTAACAGTTGATAAAACAATGAATCTTGATTTTCAATTAAAATCTTCTTTAAATAATACAAAAACTAATTTTGAAGAACATCATTTATCATTTGATAATAAAATCAATAAAGATGAAAATAAAACTGAACATTGTCCATATTGTCCACGAATTTGTCTTGGTAAGAAAACTTTCAAAAAACAACATACAAAAAAAATTATTTTTGTTTTGTTTTTTTACATTTATTTTTACAGGTGAAGATAGTTTACGATTTCATATACAAAATGAACATAACCAAAATCTTGAAAAAGAATCAAATATAAATCAATCGAAAACTGAATCTCAATCACCATCATTATCAGATACATATTGTCATTTATGTAATGCAAAATTTAATAATCGTGAAAATTATTATGCACATATACGTTGTACACATCCACCATTTCAAAAACAACTAGATCAAATATCTTTATTTCAAATATCATCACTAAAACAACAACAACAACAACAACAACAACAAGATATAAATGATGATTCATTATTAAATGAATATGCACTGATTGAAAAAATTATATGGTGTGAAAAATGTAAACGTTCATTTGATTCTATGACGATTTATTTACAACATTATTCAATACAACATTGTTTGCAAATTATTAAATGTCTTCAATGTCAAGATATATTTGAAACAATTGAATTATTTTTTAATCATATTGAAAGAATACATCCATCGAAAACTGGTAAAGATTTTTTGTGTTTGAATAAATAATTCAATTTTGTTTTTTGTTTTTCTAGTTGAAACATTTAAATGCAAATTATGTAATGCAACATATAAAAATCGTACGGATTTTCTTCATCATATTGAAAGTATTCATAAATCCTGTTTATATCCATGTTCATTATGTTCATGTCAATTAAATTCAACTGATGAATTAATTGATCATTTAAAATTTATTCATAAAATAAATAATAATATTGATATACATATAAATCCTCATCGTCCATCATTTAATACATTATTTTCATGTAGTTTTTGTTCGAAAAAGTTCAATTCAAGATTTGAGCTTAATCAACATATTTTACATGAACATAATGATGTACAACAAGATATGAAATCAGATTGGCAACAGAATGAAAAAAAATCATGTAAGATAATTAAAGTATTTTAACAAAATTCCAATTCATATTTCTTCTGTTTCACTAATGATTTGTACTTGAGTTTCTTTTTTACACCAAACTCACACGTAATGCACCGATGAAGTTAGAATATCGGATATGGTTTTTCTTTTTGTTTTTAATTGTCCTTAATTTTATTCGAAAAGCTCTTTTTTTATCATTGGAACAACATGAATGTTAACTTGTTTACATTTATTGATAAATTCTTTTTGTTTAATTATAACTCTCCTATTGTCACTCAATTAGAGAGATGCAGGGTAAGTATTGTTTCGCCTAATGTTAAACTGAACATTAGAGCCCGTTAGGGTTGTCTTCGTTTCGAAAGTTTTAGACCTGACGGTATCTTCTGAGAGACAGCGCTTCTTCAAAACTTGCTTTGATTTTTCTGAAATTTTAAATCGTTTCTACGAAAGAGAAAATCAGGACAGGACATGGAGGGGTAAGCTTGTTTATGTATTCTGTACCCTGACTGAGAAAAACTTTCTAACTTTTATTCTACGTTGCACACAAGGATAACTTTGTATATCTTTATTCTCAATATGGATCATGCACTTAATCAAGACATATTGAACAATTATATTCTATAAGTCGAATATTCGATAAATTAATCTACTATAGCATAAATTAGACTTTTTGCTAAAAGAAGTTATGGATGTTATTAATATGCTGATGATAAAATTGACATCTTGAACGTAATGTGTCTTAATATA